TCTCTCTCTCTCTCTCTCTCTCTCTCTCTCTCTCTCATGATTATAGGATATTAAAATTTAGATTAAACTTGTACAGCAGTTGATAATTTTTATGGAAATTATTAGGTTGGCACCATCATTATTTTAGATTTGGAAGAATTTTTTTTTTGGCCTATTCATTCAAAGCTTTAAAAATTATTGCCTTGCGTCTACCAGTATAGAAACTTTCCACAGAGATAAAGATGTCGTTGACACCATTCTGTGTTTATTGATACCACAATGAGGCCTTTTTACTCTGCTTGAGCCGCGTGTGTTACTGATACAGAAACATATCTGCGATATTGATAACAGGAAAAGGAAAACAACAACCTCATTCATCGTAAGATCTGCTGCCTTGAACAGATTTCTGAAAAATCTAGGCCACTATTTTTTTAATTTAAGTTCGTAAACCAAATATTTTTTTGTTATTGGCAAATTATCCTCAACTTGAAATGCATCTCTGCGTGAAAATAGAGACTCATAATTTTTTCTTCGACACCTGTGCTCCAATTTTAAAGTATAGTCCTTCTAAGTATTGAAATTCTCTGATTATTGAGGAGTCTCTGTTTGAGGAGTGTGGAGAGAAATAGCTTCTAGAAAACTAAAGAACCTGTTATCCTCTGGGATCCTGCACCACAGCCAGGAAGTTTGAAAACTTGGCCGTGAATTCCTGATGTTTTGAGGTATGGTACAAGTGTTGAAATGAAATGTGGACACATCAGCCAGTGTGAGGAGTACTAGGAGCTAGGTTGTACCATCTTCAAATTGAAATAATCAGACAAGACAAGTGACAAAATATTTTAATGAAAATTATGAAAAAAAAATACAAATATGTTAGAACAAATGTTATTATGTCTTGATTTGTGTTAATTTCATTAAAAAAATAAAACCAAGGCAAACTTGAATGTTTTATCTTGAAAAGACTGTTTCAACATGTGGTTAAGTGAAGAACAAAGTCCTTCCAATTTTTGTACATGGAGAACCTTACTTCATTAAAAAGGAATTAGAACATATACTACAGACACCAAGCTATGTCGTAATGTATTCTACAGTTTGTTGTCAGATTACCCAGGCTCTATAAAAATGGATACCCTAGGTGCCTGAAGTTGGGTCAGCCTCACTGACTATACATATTTATGGCAGAATAGAAAGAATGAGCAGAGATGCTCCCCTAGTTCCAATGTACTATAGAATCCAAAGTTATGGTATTTTCTTGATGAATGACTGGCCTGAAAGGCTGGGAGGCATGCATTTCCTGTTGCCATTCAAGGCAGCTGCTGGGAGATAACTTTGTGAATGTGCAGATTTAGGCCTGAGCTACTAGCAGAGATCAATGCTCCCCTGATGAGAAATACTGGTGTTTTTGAAGCTGGTGATTTATGAAACTGGAAGCTTGGTGAATGTGGAGTAAAAGTAAAGGGGGCGGGGTGAGAGGGGGGGGGCAGCACTGATAAAGTGGTTCATAGGTCCCATTGAGAATAGGGGACTAACTAGTCCGAGGGTCTAATGTGACCGACCCACTTGAATAATTCCCCACGGGATATCTATTCAGTGTCTATTAGAGTATTAGGCTTCGTTCACATGGAAAGTCTATTTTCTAAAAATCTATTTTCTATTCGCAGTATATCTTGTGATCACGGTCTGTGCCCTGAATATCCCGCGGCGTAATTACTGGCAGCGCGAGCCAGTTACTATAAGTTACTGGCTCGCGCTACCAGCAATTACGCGGCGGGATATTCAGGGCACAGACCGTGATCATAAGATGCCGCGAATAGAAAATAGATTTTTAGAAAATAGACATTCCATGTGAACGAAGCCTTAGATAGCAAGCTTTGTAATGGGTCACCATATTTGNTCTCTTCTTAATGTCTGACAAACTCAGAGTCCAGCAATTCATGAAAATTGGTGGCTGTGCAAAAAAGATAGAAAAGATAACCCCTAAACAAGCTTTTTAAGTAACAGCAAATTTACCATTGGAATATGAAGCCCTACTGACTTCCTAAAAATAACAGAATAACACTTTTGGAGATATCATTGATTCAATCAAATACATTGATTTCTCCAGCTGTGGGCAGCTAAAGAGCGTGGGAGGAGAAATAGGAAGAGGGAAGGAATTGCAAACTTATGATAAATATAGTTTTATTTTCACTTGTGAGAATGAAATTTTCACACAGTTCTTGATGGAGTTATCAGGGATTTATAAGCACCGGGTCCCATTTCACTGGAATCTTTGGACTAAGTTTAGACAGCTAAAATCAGAGTCAGCTGAGATATTGGTCTAAGATGTTTTCATAATGATTGGCCTACATAAATGTATTTGACATACCTTTCATTGCTACTGTCACCACTGAAAGGTCAATGGCCTTTAAGAGTATACATGTAATGTGGCGGCTGTCTTAATAGTGAGCTAAGATTTTAGTAATAGAAATGACTTAAGACTTTTTGTGAGTGGGCTTTAAGCCACTTGATTTATGGCAGTGTAAGTCTGGTGAATGGTGAGACAAGCCAGAGAAGAGGAAGGGAACATTTATCATGTACTGGTGATATATGCTTAAAATGGTGCAATCTTTCTGTGGGACTGTAAATCACCTATGTATATGTATACTGGCTGATGAAAAATAAAAGCAGTGACCACAGGCCTACCCAACTATCAGACTCGGCACCGAATGATCCTGAATTCACCGGTAGATCAGACCACACTTCCTGTTTTCAAGGTGTGTGTCAGATCGCATTACACAGTATCAGACGTGACACCGCTCTTGCCTAGTACGCGATGTGATAGTGACGATTCTCAGCGGGGTTGAAAAGCATTGCATCACTGTTCACCACTCAAAATTTGTTCAGGGTATGATACTGTGTAATGCGATCTGACACACACCTTGAAAACGGGTAGTGTGGTCTGATCTACCGGTGAATTCAGGATACCGAGTCTGGTAGTTGGGGAGGCCTCGACCAAACTGAATCATATTTATGATGCAAAAAGTTTCTGTAGACTCATTGGCATGTTTACTCTGGTGTGTGACTGGATATGAAAAAGGGGACTGGATGGAATTACGATGGAATAACCAAAGATGCAGTCAGACAATGATAGACTCAAAATGGTTGAGGTTGAAAACACATAACCAGATATATTTTCCAGTAATATATTGATAGTTTGAGACCATCCTGTGTGGAGTGGGGTGTACTGTGACCTGCTGCTGGGCTGAAGACATAGGTTTCTCGGTCACGCTCTATATTGTCCGAACACACATACTGGTCTGAAATTATGTTTCACGCTGTGCGCCATGCTTTCTTGATTTATGATATTAATTTTAATTTTTACAGGGCCATATAATTTGCACAACTACTTTGATGTTCAATGTCTGAAATACATAATTTATCAAAGCAAAAAGTTATGGGTTGATGTGTTTGTTTTGTTAAGATTATGCTGAAATTTATCCTGTTTTTTCTTTATTTTTCCAGGGATGATTTCCTAGTTCGGGTTAAAGCACAAGTCATGACTCGTGATGACAGCAGCGGAGGTTGGGTGGCATTGAAGGGGGGTGGCCTTAGCATTGTGGGCCTACGGAAAATAAGTGTCATAGCTAACAGTGATGAAGGGGTGCGATATGAATATGTTATACATGGTTATAGGACAAGTGACCAAGAGGTAAGTTGACATACTTCAGTCAGTGTCAGCTGATAACTCGGACATTGCAGTTGGTTGACAGACATTTTTTTTTTTTTTTTTTTTACCTAATGCCATGCTGCTATTGCATTATAGATATTTATTTTTTGAGTAAAAAATTTTAGTGATACCATAACTCATTAAAAAATTGAATCCTCATCATGCACTTGCTTTGAAGAAAATAGTATTCCCTATTGTTGTTTTTTTTTTAACAGAACATATATATTTTTTAATTTTTCATAGTTACCTTATTAAATTAAGTAATAGTATCACTAAACATTTTCTTGAAAATAAATGTCTATAATGTTATTCCAGAAGTGCATATAATTAAACAGGCATCAGTGATGTAGATCCCAGGTTTTTATTATTCAGTGTAGATATCTGAAATGTTTCATTTGATATGTGTCAACTTTTAAGCAGAAGACCATCAGGCCTGCCCAACTACCAGACTCGGCACCGAATTATCCTGAATTCACCGGTAGTTCGGCCATGTTATAATATCCTATGTCTCATTCATTCCCTCAAAGCCTCACCTCTTCCCAAGTCTTGATGACTGCTAATGACTAATATACCAGTGGATCATGCTTGCATATTTTTGGTCAAATCTTCTAATCCATTTTAACAAAATCAGTGGGCCATTGACAAAATAGACTTTATTTTTCTAACACCGTTGTGTTAAACTTTTTTACCAATATTTTGGTGTGGTCTGTGGTGCTCATGTTACAGTGGTAGTGTCTCCACATAGCTGGGAATGATGAGGATACAGTCACTCTCTCTCTCTCTTCCTAACTGCTAATTATATGTAGTAATCTTTGTGTTCATAAGGCCAAAACTGTGGTGTATGACTTGTGTGTCTCTTTTCCCACTGGAACTCTCCTGGACACGGCCCAGTATCAAGTTGACCACAAGAAGAAAAAGAATTATTGGCTACCGTCGTCTAAATTAGTATGCAGAATTTGTTCAAGAATTGCTGTCCTATTTTCAATGAATTTGATAGTTTGTGGTGTATTGGTGTAATGGTCTATTTACCCTCCACTGGCATATAATACAGTGATTGGTAACCACCATGTCATATCTTACCTTTAGAGATGGCATTTGTACTTCGTTTTTGATTGACTATTTAAAGATTTGTAACCTTATCCATTGTGTTCATTTAATTATGCCCATACACTTATCCCTGTAGTAAGTTGGCATGTTATCTGAATGCATTTGATCTCCTGCTGTATAGAATTGCAGACACTGCAGTTTGGGTTTACATTTAAATTACACTTGACATTTTTATGAATGAAAGATCCACCCTGACTTTATGAATGGGTGTTTGTTCTCTGGACAACGAAGGTCAGATCTTAGAATAGATCAGTTAATGCCAAACATGAAAAAAGAGAAAAAGATTTTTCAACCGATATGTGAATATTCCCCCCAAATGCTCCAGTGATGATAGCAGTTATTATCCCTGGATTGTAAGAGATAAAGCTTTAGGGGCAGTCATGTGTGTAGAGTTTGGGCAATGACACACCCCTTGTAATATATGTAATAAATTGAGGTGCACTTCACTGAGAAATAGCAGAGAAAGGCTAGCTATCAGATAAGGCTATTGAGATTTTTTTAAAAGTGAAATATACATGTTTGAAGGGGGTAGAAATTTGATCCCTCCCTCAATATCTACTCCCTTTTCTTCATTATTTGAAAAACTCAAGTTGTCATGAATTAATTTATTCTGGCACTAATTTCCAAATGCAATTTTTTGTGTGCAATCATATAATTAGTACCAGATTGTTACATTTAGATGCATTGTACACAGTTGTAATTTCATCTTTTCCCTTTGGATTTGAGCTGGTGTTTCAGACCATTACCCTCTTTCAGAGAATCAGACGTGGGTGTAAAACTGGGAAATTCACTCATTCTGTCATTTTCAGGCCCCCATTTGGAGTTGGTTATAAACATGAATCCTTGTTATTCAAATGACAAATGCAATCAGTTGATTCTTAAAATTTATTAATACATACATGAGAAAGGTGTATCAGATTGTTTTCCATTGTGTTCCTTTTCACTCCACTTCCCTGTTCACGAGATTCCCTGTTTTAGTATTAGCCTGATAGCCAGGCAGATCAGCAGTCACAGGTTTTAATTATTATTCATGAATTTTTTATATGTAATGTTAAACTTCAGGAAATAGGCTTTTTGTTGTTTTTTTGTAGCCTTATGTTTAATGATGGTAAAAAGTCAGTTGTTTCATCTTTAAAAAAGTACATTGTTTCAGCCTGCCTAATAGGTAAAACATTGTCTCTGGAGAAACAATTTTTAGTTTTTACTAATCAAAACCTTGTTTGGTTTCTAAAAAAAAAATTGAGCAACACAGACACTCACTTCCCCTCCTTCTTAAGTAAGCAAATTTTCCAGAACTGGACAAAATAGTCCAATGTTTATCTGCAGCACTGAGTGTTGATATGTTCTAATGTAATGTGGTGTTCTGTACTAGGTGGTCCTCCACTGCATGTTGAAGAAAGATGTCCAGTACACGAAGGCCACGCCGACATTCCACCATTGGAGGACGGGAGATCGGCGGTTTGGGCTGACGTTTCAAACTGCCGCTGATGCCAGGGCATTTGATAAAGGCATCAAAAGGGCGGTGGAAGATTTATTGGGTAAGTTTGCCAATGATTTTTGCTTTTTAATTTTTCATATTGTGTAAATTTGAAATTAAAGGTACACTCATACAGCTAACTGTTAAGTATGTTTTTAGCAGGTAATAGAATGCCCTAGTTATCATTCTGTCTTCAGCTCAGGAGAAGTCCACTTGACCTAATAAGGTATAGACATTACCCACATTAGCCAAGGTGGATTACTGCTGAGCTGGTGACATTGATTATTTTGTGAAATAATGTTTGCTGTATCAGGACGTGCTATCATTTTTTTTTTCTGTGATTATATACTTAAATCTTAATTATCATCATAGGAAAGCCATTATGAATTTGTTTGAGGAAGTCAGACATTTGATTATAATTTATATCTAGGGGACAGGAAATACTTGTGAAAGGCCTTGGCTGGACTTAATTAAAGATATGTTTTTTTTTTTTTTTTTTTTTGTAAATGACCCTTTTGCAACTTTTTTATTGAGAAAAATACATATATACTACAGTAAATATACGAGGTGTGTACTGTATTGTGGTAAGCTTTGTTGACACTAGTGTTTGTCACTTGTGATGAAGCAGAAAGTGAAAGATGAAAATAATCTGGGAGTGAAAATAATTGAACAGCTATTTTTTGCTAACAATTCAATATATTGAATATATTGAGGGGTTGGTTTCCTCCTATTTACTTCTTGAAACATTAGAGACACTTCTAGCAGCCTCTGTTAGCTTTTCAACGCTGACAGTAATTTGAAGGATTCTGTTTTTTAAGACTTCTTTTTTTACCTGGGTTCTATTTTGGTCAACGAAAACCTTCAACTAATGCAAGTGACAATAAACAGAGCAGTAAACGGGAAGTAAGAGCCAGACCATGATTTGTTTGGAAAGCTGAAATGAAAGGCTTTGAATGAAAGAGTGACATATTCAGGACCTCATTCCAAAAAATTTTTAACAATTGAAATGGACCATTAAAGATCATATACATATCAAAATTCAGCTTTTCACCCCTTCTCATTCTCCTTAGTGTGTAAACAAACCTGGGATATAGGAAGAGGGAAGCAGGGAAAGGAGACGGTTTGAATCTTCATTGAGAAAGTCTTGTGCTAGGTAAACGTGTCTGGCGAACAAGCTGTAGTAACAGCCGCAGGCAGTTCTGACACACGCTTCCCTCCTTGGCCGGCCACAGTTTATACACACTGCAGCGACTGTCGGATAAACAAAGCTGCTTAGTATAAACGCCGCCTTCCTGTTTTACTCAAGCAGGGCAGATCAACAAACTAAAGCCCCAATTAATCTTAGGGGGGAAAAGGCCAGGGATTTACTTATGATACTAACAGAGATGGGGATATTAATAGGAAGCCAGGCAAAGTTCAGAGACAAGAATTTCTTTTGATTTTCCTCCTGTTTTTTCCGTGCATTTATAAAATTGGTGGCCTGCCATGATGTGTTAAATAAACTTAAGTTCAGTTTTGATATGAATGTCATATTTGACAGAGAAAAAATAAGGCTGGTGTTTATAAAGATAAAGTTGGCATGTTGGTGTATACTGTTTCTGAATATGGGTAAACTAAGAATTAGGAATAATGTCAATTTGCTCCAATTAATTTACTGCAGGTTGAATGTTTAGGAATGTCAGCTGAGGTTTTTGCCAGTGTTTTGACTGGCTTTGATCGCAGTGTTTGAAAGGGAAGTTGAGTGTAAGTGTCGCTGGGATGTACAACACCAGGGGTTTGTTTAGGGATGGTTTATTTTGACATGAGCGCCTAGGGCCCTGACTTCAGTTTGATGGAGCCATCAACATACACCGCTCTGTTCTGATACTTCACCTTTTTAAAGCCTCTATCACAGTTTTTTAATCCAACAGAAAATCACTTTTGACTTTGAAAAGTGTGCTAGATACAAACGCGAATGTAGCCTCTCAAACAAGGCTTGTATAACTAGAATAGATTCATTCTTTGTATAATTTACTATGGTGGAAATGCAGCATGAATGAGAATGTGGACAAGTAAGGTAGTAACTAGATCTTTTCAATGGAGGAAAATTATCAATTTTGAAATACATAGCTTTATGGTGCTATTACTGAATAGAATTTAACTGTAGTCTCCTTTGTAATTTTGTTACTGCCACTCAATAGGAATGTTGTTATGTTAAGAATTCATGACTTAAAAAACACAGTATCAATTTTTGTGATATTCACAATTTTCATTTTCCATTGAAAAGATTGTGTCATTACCCTACCCTTGTCACAGAGGTAATAGAAGGGATAAATGAAAAAATTGTATTCAGCTTACTGCAGGACAAATATACCAATGATACCTAAAAAGTATAGCTTTGGACGCCTCATTTTCCCCTTATTTTCTTACATCAGACCTGCTGTTTGATAGACATTAGTTTTTTTCCAGATTATGTATGTTAAAAATTACTTGATACAGTTGATCTTCTCACATCTAAATTGAAACCATACGGATAAACCAAGATTTTGAATGAGCCCCTTATTTAATTTTTTTTTTTTTTTTTTTGCGCTACAGCCTTGCTAGTATCATTATATAAACGAAGCAGCAGCATGTTAACAAAAAGGTTCTTTGCAAAGGATGTAAAGGGTTCTTGGTGATCAGTTTGATTCAATGTACATCATCTTGTGATGTGATCTGAACTTCAGCAGGTAAGCAGATGAGCAACATTTGTTTTCAGAAAATGTAGAACCAATTGTGTTAACCAATTGTTTGGTCATTTTTAACCAAATATTTCTGAAGGAGCCTACATGTTTAAGGGGACCTTGCAGAGAACAAATGTTACCTATTAGTAGATTTTCAAAAAAACAAAAAACAAAAAAAAAAATAAGTTGGCATTTTTCATACAGTAATTTTAAGCTTACATGTAGGTCATTTTTATCCAATTCTTTGACAAAGACAGAAAAAACTATTCAAATATTTTGCAATTTCTTAAATCAAAATGAATTTTTTGGTCCTTGGCAGAAATTTTGAATTCCAATATGGCCTGTACCTGAGCACAGGAAAATGGTTTGCTGGCTCAGTATGTTATTTCTGTCTGTATACGTCTTATCACTGTTGAAGTTAGAAAGCTGGTAGATTGGGGTGCTGAAGAATACACCAACTAACTCATGAAATGAACTGTTTGACATCAGTAGTAGATAAAGTTAGGCTCCAGTCTATGGTGGACCCCTGCATGGTGACAAGGATAGGGCATCTCTAGACAGACAGGTTTTATGTGTGTCATATTTTTTATCTTTTAGAAAATACTGATAAAGAAATTTGGGTGTAATATTTAGAGATATGTTGTGGTATATTTTGGTGTTCCTATCAAGATTATGCCAAGGAAACCTAGGGCTCACTCCCAGTGAAACTGTCATTCTACATAGAACGATCCAGCTCCGCTGGGACTGTCGCTGAATGCAATAAGATGAAAGATTTACAGGCCTATCATTGTTTTCAAGGTACTGGTATAATCACCAGGTTTTCTGTATTCTACTCATCACGAGGAGGAGGTGCGTTATTCTGATTGCATTCAGCAAGAGTCTCTACAGAGTTGGATCATTCTACATAGAATGATAGTGTCATTTAGAATGAGCCCTAAATGTGACTTTTGTTTTTCATTTTGCCCAGTGTCAAGGTGGTGGGTGGGAGTATTAATTCATTTCACTGATAGCTCTAAATACATCAGTTTAAGTTGGAATTTTTTTAACCACAATTCATTCCTATCAAAGAAAGCGTTGTTACAGTATATATATGAATAAAGAAATAGTGTTATTTAATGTAAGTATAATACATGAATAAGGTATCAGACATCCGTAGTATGAAATTCCTCTCTCTCTCTCTCTCTCTCTCTCTCTCTCTCTCTCTCTCCATTCATCAATTCCATTTCTGTTAATCATCTCAGTAACACAATTGTTCTGCCCCACGTGCCCTAAGCCTTGTCATTTCCATCAACTGCCAGTGTGAAGTAGTTGTTAAGATACCAAAAGGGAGTGGCTTAACCTGCCACTTATTTCCTGGAAATCACCATTGACCAGTTGTGTGCTAATGTCCTGGATTCTCCAGGAAGCTGCTAATGATCATTGTCTCTGGTTCCTAGCCCAACCAATTAGGCAGTACAGGATAGAGGCTGTGTGGGCGGCAAATGGTGATATCATACATGTTCAATAAGTAATATTTCCGGCGCCTCTCCTCCCACCTTGCTTGTACTGGAGTGTTCATATTGAAGGCATCTTCTTCACTCGTACAATGATGGCTTTTTTATCTTGCAGACTGGAATCAAGAAGTACAGTTCTTATTTGAGATTAATTAACTTGCTGTTAGTGCAGTGAGTTGATAGGTTAAACATGCCATTATGATGAAGGCTTTGTTGAACATCTTGTTGAAGTTATTATTTAAGGGCATATACAAATCTTTTCTTATAATGAAATTAGTAACCGTCATAATACTGGGTAAAATAAAATTCAGGTCTTAAATTTCTACCCTTCCTCTCATCCCCTTACTTAATTCAGTAACACAATAATAATAACAACAACAAAAATAATACAGATAATAAAATGGTGATAATGTCAAATTTGTTCGAAAAAGGGGATCTTTCCTCAGAATAAATTGATTGGTGTGTAAAGTTTCAGTCTCAGTCTGAGCCAGTGTTTTTGGTATGGTGAACTGAATAGAAAGGTGATTTATATAAATATTTGCCTCGTTTTCTCTTTCCAGTTGGACTTTCTTTATTTTCCATCTTATTGGTCCATGTTTACTTAGAAAAAGAAATAATTATAATAGCCATGTAAATGTCAGTGAGCGTGGCATGGAAAAGACTAGTGTAATGTAGATTAAACTGTGCAAAGAAAAAAAAATTGTCTTAACATAAATGCAGTAGAGTGGATTTCTCGAAATGTTTTTCATATTTTCTTTTTATTGTCTAGTTGATATGATTGTTTTTATATGCATAGTAGCCATAGTGTTTGTTTTTATATAAGAAGTAACCTTGGTGATTGTTTTAACATGAGAAGTAACCATAGTGATTGTTTTTATATGAGAAGTAACCATAGTGATGTGTTTTTATATGAGAAGTTACCATAGTGATATGTTTTTACATACAAAGTAACCATAGTGATGAGTGTTAGGTCAGCACCAATGGTCCATGACATAAAAAATTGTTCTTATGTCTGATTTTTTTCTATCTTTGTAATTTTGTGCTGCCTTTCTTGGATATTTGACAACTGGTGAGTAACTATTGGAGGATGTGGGAGGGACTGTGTATTATATGCAATGAAATTATTTCCTATTGTGTATTATTGACAGTATATCCTGTTCTTTCATAGAAAACACAGCACAACACATGCACAAGTATGAAGTGAATAATTTTTGTTTACATTCAAAGTTCAGAAGAAGAAGATAGTTCACAGAATGTCTTTAGTTTGTGTTCCTGTTCTTGTGTGTCTGTGTAAATGAGCGTGCATGTTTTGCGGTGTACTGTTGTGTCACGCACTCTCCTCTAAGACACTATGTTGCCATAGTTGGTAGCTGATGTATACAGTCAGTACACAGGGGTAGTTATAGCCTGAGCTTTAGCGAGTCTGGCTGTTCTTTTCAGTTCTTTTTCCATCTTGTGGGTGAGACGTTGAATTCTGTATATATTTGCCGTTCCATTTTCTTCAGTTTTGTGTTCATTGTCAATTGCCAATTGTGAATATTTTGTCTTCATATTTTATGTGTAATTTTCAGGTTCGCCCAACTCATCAAATTCTTTAGAAGTGGGAGATGATGACGTGTTTATGGTAAGGGCTTTAAAATTACTGATATCTACATTTTTTAAGTTTTACTTGCTTCACATGTCAGCAAAATCACAATCTGATTTTAATTGAAAGTTTACTTAACAGAATTGTCCTTAGCAGAATTTGACTTAAACATAATTTATGTCCAACCATATTTGGTTTATATGTGAAATGGGGTCGTTTAAAAGTAACATAATGAAAAGTTTGTCTTTAAATTGAAATTGTCAAAAAATTATTCCACATGTTCTTGCAGTTGACATGTACTAATAACTAACTTAGAAAAAAAAAGGGTTAAAACTTTTATTCTTTTCCAGCCATTAGACCTTCCACTTCGCCGCCAAGATTCGTCCTCACAATCTGCTCAATCTGCAAGTACGAATTCGACAACGACAAGTAGTCCTACGCCTCATTCTCCCATCACCACTCAGGATGTAGCATATCAGTCTCCCACGCGGCACCATCCCCCGCCGCTGCCACCGCTACAGACACAGACATCATCATCTAGTAGCAGTAATGTGGAACATTTGAAAAAAATAAATTATGTTTCTTCAAGGACTGAGCTAGAAAAGGAGGAGGTGTGGATTAAAAACCATAAGAAGGAACACAAAGATGACAAGGACAAAGATGGTAGTGGAGAAAGAATAGACTTAGGTTATTCTTATGTGCAGTTTCAAAAACCAAGACAATCTGTTCATGACTATCAGTACCCAAATATAGACTCCAAAAAGGAAAGAAAGGACTCGCTTTCTAGCATAAAAAAGAATAATTTGACATCAAGTAGTAACATGGCACCACTGCCACTTCCAACCAAAAAGAAAAAGAAGCATAAAGACTCTGGGAAATCAGATTACCTGCTCCAAAGGCATGTTTGCTGCCAGTACTGCAATTTAAGCTTTGATGAACAGTCCAACACCCCAGGGAGCTGTAAGGAGGCCCCAGATAGGGTCCATAATATTATCGAGAAAGTCAGCTGCCTTTGCTGTGCTGAGGCGGTCCTTTATCACTGTTATGCCGACGAAGACGGTCGCTATGGACATGTGTGTGCCTGTGACACTTCTGAAGATAAGTGCTGTCTTAAGTGGATAACATTAACAATTCTCAGTTTTTTTGTCCCCTGTCTGTGTTGCTACCTGCCTCTGCGTGCCTGTCACAGGTGTGGTATCAGGTGTGGCTGCTGCGGAGGACGGCACCAGGCCAAATGACCACAGAGAGTCCGCTAAGCAAAGGGAATTGTTCTAAGTAGAAGACATACCTAAGCAGGCTTCTATACAATACAAGCAGGCTTCTGGTCTGTAAGGAGGCTGGCATTGCTGTACAGTTGGAGGGGAGGCAGTCAGCTAGGTAGCCAGTGGGCTGCTGTACTTCTGTCTGCTGTGTACATTGGCAACAGCCAACTTTTGTCAAGAATCTTGTGCCAAATATGACAGCAGCCAGGTTATTGCAGATAACTGTACATATCTGTATTGACAACCTGTGATACTGACCACAAGCAAGGCTGTGGGAGGAAGGAAAGAAGGAAGGAGGAAAAAGGGCTGCTTGGAGCTCTGCTTGAGGAATGTTAAGGTTGAGAAATAAATGCTCCAAGGCAAGGAGGTACATGTGTCTAGAGACAAGGATCTCTGGTGTGCACACGTTGTGTTTTCAGAGGAGTCTTTTGGCTATGCAAAGACCAAGCATGCTACGGTCCAGTTCTAATGTAGGGCCTCTTGTAGACTGTCCATTTTTAACATGGTTCATTGTGCGACCAAGCTGGTTCATTGTGCGACCAAGCTGGTTCATTGTGTGACCATGCTGGTTCATTGTGTGATCACATCCGTTCATTGTGTGACCACGCCGGATCATTGTGCAACCACCGGTCAGTGCAATTGCTAAAAAGGACAGTCAACAAACAGGGCATCAATGTGATTCAGGGAAGACAGAGCAGTCTTGAAAAAGAACCTTTGAAATGAAAGGATGGTACTTGGATTTATCATGCAAACAAAGGGGTTTTTTTACGAGCAGGACCCAAGCATAAAAGGGATGTTAGTACAAGTACAGGACTGCGAGACATGGTGTGAGAAGAGAAGACTTCAGGAGTGGGGCAGATGTAAACCTGGGTGTCAGTGTAGGACTTGGGGGGGTGTGAACTGGTTGGCTACCCAGGTTCTAGTATAAAAACAAAGCACAGAATGGGGATTGTGCAATGAACTGGTTCTGATGATAAGTTATGATTATGTTGAAGATAAAACATGTTGATGATGATGACAATGATGATGCTGTGTTGTTGAGATTGTTGTAAGGCTTTTACAGTGGCTATCAGGCTTTTTGTTAAAATTTACATGTAATATTTTGGAAAGGACTCAGATACAGAATAAATCAGTCATGATAATTTGATTACGTAAATCCATAGTGTCTTTGAAAATAATGTTGGATTTTGAATTGCGTACGTTGTTTACAAACATCTGCCAGTCTGGAGTCTGAATTACTGAGGTGCAAAAATTTTGGAGTCACTTCTGGGAATATATAAGAAAAAGGGAAGTGTTAAGAGAATTATCAGGAGATTGCTATTTCTTTGTCTTTTAGTTCATCTTTTCCATTTATTTATTTTCATTATTTTATGCAGAACTAGAATTCATTTGTATACAGCAGGCTATGTGCCACAGTGTATAAAGCTGTAAAGTATTACAGTTGAAGGTATTTTTGAGACAAATCATTTCATTTTTACTTTGTATATACATTGTAAAAGAAAGTTCCTGGCAACCAATAGAGCTCTGTTAACAATAAGGAATTGCTGTTCCAAGTACAATGTAGTTTGTATATGTGAATCTTTTTAACTTGTTGATTTTAGTGAACTCACCGAGCTACATTTCTTAATTGCCACTTATTTTAAAGGCTTTGTTAATTTACTTGTTTTAATTCTTTCTGGTTATTGAGTTAAGAGGTTGATGTTTGCATTTTATCTTGGTCAGAAGACAACTTGGTTATAGAAGGTGCACAGTATTAAGATAAATCAGTTATTAGCTTGGTTCTTTATTTTACTGAATCTGGTAACTGAAAGGTCAGAATATAAGACACAGGAGAAAAAAGGATTTGGGAATTATTTAAAATGTTAAAAAATAAAGTTGCTGAGTAGTGAAGGCATGGCAGTTGAGATGCCACCCCCCCCCCCTTCTACCCTTCAGTTTTTACATTAATCATTTTCCCCCCTCAATGCTGGGTATGTGATGTGAAGTAATAGATATCAGAATGCTCACACCATTGTAGCATCATGTCATTTAATAAGTAAATAGTATGATAAAGTTCACAAAGACCTTTTCACTTTATGTTAAGTATCGCTTCTGTGTATTCTTTGGCGTTTTTTACATGTTTCATGATAGTTTTTTCCATTGAATTATTATTATTATTTTTTTATTGTAAGCCTGGAACTAGTCAACTTTTGTTTCCTATAGACCAATTTCTATAAGTGGCTTTGGTTACAGTCTTCTAGTTAACTCTACTGAAAACAAAATCAAATATCTACTTAAGTTTTCTCCTTTGGTTTTTAATATTAAAAAGGAACGGATACATGATGAAATGAAAAATGAACATAGCAAATGTTATTGATGGTTATATTGTGTACAGAATTAAGCTCAGGTATATATATATGTAAATATATATATTCTAAAGGTCACAATGATAAGATAAGACACAAAAAGATGGCTTTTTGTACTCGTTTGTGAAAGTGCCGGTCTTCCGTAACCATTGTACTAATTATTTGGCTACTTAAGTATCACTTTCTGCAGAGTTACCACCTTGACTACCAGACCATATGTATTAAGATTTACCTTTGTGACCATGTTTAAAGGATTTGGAATGTGATTAGGTAGACTTGGATGGTTTTGTATGGGAGTTTGTTTTCATATGCCAGAATAGTACTTACACACTGATCATACAAATCAGCCCTTGAGGAATGCAATTTTACGTCCAAATGTGGGGAAGATTTTGTGTTGTTTATTCTCTAGTACACCCTGTAAAACTTTTCTGACTGCGCCTTCCATTTTCAGTACGCCGTTTGTTACTTATCACGGCTATTTTTATTTGCTTAAATTGTTCTTATATTGTCATGTTTATGGAGGTGTATTGGTGTGGCTTTTTAAACAACATTTTAATTTAGCATACAAACAGCAAGAGAGGCAGAACTGATTAAACGGTGTGAGAGAAAATAGTATTAATGTTTTAACGACTTTTTTGCTGTTAACCCGCTTTTGCCAACTTTTTATTGCCAATACTGTACTTTTGTGGAAGAGATAGTGTCAGAATATTTTCTTTTTATGTTGCATAATTGTTCAGTGAGCTTTATTCTGTTGCCTTATGAGAGCCAAGTGGACTTTTCCCTGCATTTGCGCTGCCTGTAAGTTAAGTTATCAGCGATTGGATGCACATTTGAGAAAAAAATTCTGACCAATCAGAAACCAGTGATTTGATGCATGTTTGAACTTCTGACCAATCAGGAATCAACTGTGATCAATATTGAAAAGAAAAAAGGACATGCGCTGATCATATTGCATGTTATACTTGAGATACGAATAGGCATTGTTCGTATATGTACATATTGTTGATGCATTTACAATGTACTGCTATGAGGAAGGATGGCCAGAAGTTAAAGCCGGGCTGTGATCGGCAGCTGCCGCGTAGTTGTCATTTCTTTGCAGTCGAACAGAATTCCAGGAGTCTGGCGTCACTTTGTGATAACATCTCTTAAAAATAAAAGCACATTGCTTAAACTAATATTCGATATGATGTTGTTTTTTTCCATCGTCGTGAATCTCGAAGTGCAATCAAACGCAAAGCGGAGTTTCACCGTGCAAACGGCTGTATTCTGGACTGATTGCCCGAACACGATTCGCAGTTGTAAAATCACAAGTGCGTTTAACTTTTTAAAGATCGAACACAAATTTACTGAATGTTTTAGTTAAGTATTTTCCATGCCGTTCCCATTGCAATATAAATATGTCCTAGAATAATTTTCTTGGTTACAATTTTTAAAAATCCCAGCCAAAATCCAAATTTTGATCATGAGACAAGAAAACCCGAAAAATTATGTTAAATCTTAAAGTACATTTTTTTAAAATGAGATCATTTTCTTTACGTTTTTTCCAATTTAATCGTTACATCGAAACCTATGAAAAAAAGGTTAAAACCTAACTCTGGTGATAATGGGACTGGTAAAGAGTTTTACAGCACTATAAACACTTGTCCAGCTTTTGGCCCCTATACACAGATTGATGTCATGGGCAACAAGCACCAAACTAAGGTTGTATTGGACTCTCCAAGACAGCCAGCAGACCAGACCTCTACACGCTATGGTATATTCCATGAACAGAGACTTCTAGATATCATTTCTCTTAAAATTCTCTTAAAACGCGGCATTTCTCGTCAAATGGCAATCTAGTTTGTTTTTCAGAAAATTATGGCTACCATAAAAAGATTAAAAAAAAAGAAAAATCACGGAGCGTAGTCTACAGTTATGTGAATTCTATTTTATTTTTGAAATGTGTTTGAAAAAGACTAAATACGCCAATATTACAAGAAGAACATGGTCGGCCCAATTCAATGATTTTAAAAACGAAATCTTAAGATGTTGTTTGTGCTTATGAACAATCTAGGAAAAGCACATTTCACAATTCAAGGAAACATACTCCATGATATCTGGACAAGATGGAAGCTGGAAGTTTTTAAAAGACCAAAAGAAAAAAATCAGCCATATCCAACTCAACAATGTGTAAAATTTTGATTTGCAATGTTCACAATTTCTCTCAGTATCAGGGCCAGCAATCAGGGTACGTGCATCAGAATATCTTCCAAGTTTTTGTAATCAACTGAACTAAAGAGGTGGTACATTACTGACGTTATCCTACATGAGTAAGCCATGAGCAAACTCGCATCAGAAATTTAACCGTATCAGGGGCGGATCCAGGAATATTTAAAGGGGGAGGGGAACCGCAGATGCAAAGCCGCCGAAGGGCCCCCCAAAAAATTTGGTGTTTTAGAGGGCGAACTAAGCCATTTGGTACGGTTTAGAACTATAAATCAGCTAGTCAAAATTCTAATTCCAAGAGGGGCAAAGGGAAAATTAGTATTTTTTTTTTTATCAGAGACTAAAGAGGGGATCAGGACCCCCTGACCCCCCTTCTAAATCCGCCACTGCGTATATAGCGAGCGAGCGAGAGAGAGAGAGAGAGAGAGAGAGAGAGATCCAATATATAGGGATTTTTATACAACTTAAACATGTAACCAACCGTTACATGGCAAAATTTACTGGGTTAAAGAAACTTTTTGGCTATCAAATTGCAAAACGCCACTAAAAGTGTTGACTTCTGTGAAAATTATCCTTTTATCAAAGAAAGATCACTTGGAAGTTTTTAAAAAATCCGGTCTGGTAATCGATGATTTTTGTAAGAGTAATCTGATGTGTATGAATTACACTTTATCTGTTTGTTTATTTATTTATTTATTTATTTATTTATTTATTTATTTATTTATTTATTTATTGAGGGCAAAGACATGGTAAATTTCAAATTTATTTTTCCCATGACCTTCCATTATACAGTATATCGATATATATTGAAATGTTAATTGCTTACGCCTTCGTGTGAAAAAAAGTATTAAACAAGGATGGTAAAAGGATGAAAAAAGTCATCGAAAGTTTTATGTGATTAGTTAATTTCATCATCAAAATGTAATTTTCCATCAATGTAAAACAAACTTGAACTGAACTAATGGTACGATCCAAGTATGATGTAAAGCACATTATAATTTATATTTTAGGTTTTTAATAGAAAACGAAGCTCTGGGAGCTTGCTTTATAAGGAAATATGGCGTGGTGGAATAACAAATTAGAATGGAAAATTCTGGTGATCACGTAAAGAACAAGGTCGGAGAAATAGGTATAAATATTTACCTTTGTTGCAAAACTGAAAACCACCGTCCTTTCATAACGTTTAATTGTTCCGTTTAGAAATTTGTTTTCCGTATTATCTTTATGAAACTCAACCACAGGGGAAGCAAACAGGTAAAAAGTTAATGATATGTGACAAGAAAATTCACTTTCTGGTTTACTATGTCTCAACCAGAATCCGCCATTTCCTCCAGTATCGTTCACCATAACGTCAGAGAGGAAAGACACAAAGGATATTACTAGCTGTCATCGGATGATCTTAAATTTAACAACTCTTATTATTATTATTTTTTACTGAGAAAGCTGGAGGCTGGGTCGTTTGGTTCGTTGTTTGAACTTTTCGACACCGATGCCCCTGCACACTTTTTCTACGATACTTATAATAATACATAACTTTCGTAAAAAAATCTGAATAATCATATTATCCAATATTTGTTGTATGTAGAGGGGGATTGAAAACATGCTCTGGAAATAAACCAGACGATTTTTATTATAGCGCTGAACTTTGCAACCATACGATGGAAGAAATATATATATATGTTTTTTTAGGAGAATAGGTATATTTTTTCTCAGTCGGCAATATAAGATCGCATTCACAACGAGTTGAGCCAGGCTTTACAAATCCTGGGGACTAAATATGGCGGTCGTACATGAAAGAAATACCGCTTAATCTTTTAATAGTCTCTCCGCCTCTCACACGCCTCCCCACATGTCGTCCCTGCGGGGGGACAGTCATTAAATCTCGGCCCCATTGGGACGACACATGAGGAGGCGTGTGAGAGGCGGAGAGACTATTAAAAGATTAGGCGGTTTTTCATTCATGTACGTCCGCCATATTTAGTCCCCAGGATTTGTAAAGCCTGGCTCAACTCGTTGTGAATGCGATGTAAAACATCTTAACAGGACTTAAAATCACTGCGGAATGTTTGCGATCTCTCCCCAGGGATAACGTGGACGGTGTAGTTGCACATTCACTTCTCAGTTTTGGCTTTTTCGTTTCGAAAAAGGTATATAAACATTTGTCCATTGTGGAAAAGAAAGGTTGTCTCACTCAGCACGTTGACGTGGGTGTAGAAAGCGAAACAGCGAAGTTACGAAAGCTTAGAAATCAAGAACCCATTGAAAACGAAACAGTATCTCAGTTTCAACTTTCATATCATTTTTGCGAAATTGTTTATGAAGCTGGCAAAATATTTTAGAAAAGGGACACTAATATGATTATGGCTTGCTGTGGCCGTAAAAAAGGAGCGATGATTTTTACTTATTGATATTGTGAACAAAGACAAGATTGCAATACATTGATGAAATCCGACTCACAATACGATTATTTTCTAAAAAAATACGGTTTTTTGGCTCTCAAATATTGTAAATATAATATCTTTGATGATTGGAAATTACATTCAAGAAAAATATTTATATTAGTTGAAGATTAAAAAAAAATTGCAGAAAATTTTATTTCTTAGCTTTGAAGCTGTTCGGAGGGGGGGGGGGGTGCAGAATCTTCAAATCCTTTTTCCTTTGACTTACTATGTGTGATATATGAATAAGTGAATCTCGTAATCACTGTGTTGATTTTACTTCAACAAATAATTTCTTAATGGCACCAGTATTGATTAAGTAATAAAAAAGCGCCCAAGCTCTCTGCTTTTATCAAAATCAAGATTTATGGTATTCGGACCTAATTTAATAAATAAATAAACAAACGTTTATACAATGTCTATGACACTATAATCAAATATAAAATATCATTTATGAAAGATGTAGATGTTTATTATTCAAGCAATTAGAGAACCTATTAATTTTTTTTAATGTGCTAAACAGATTATTATTATCATTTTACTCTCGATAATTGCATTTCTACTAAATATTGATATGACAAACTCTTTGGAATGTGACGTGGTGGGTCGCATTAAACGTATTGTAGAACCTGGTTTTCTCAAAACGAAAGTAAACTGGATTTGCTTATTTTCCAACCAGTCAACACACTTTGCTGTCACGCCCTGTAATTCGCCAAAAATACAATATTTGGCCAAGTAATTTCATTATCCGTTTTTGAGAATGGGCTTAATATAACAAATTATAAAATTTAATAACACAGAAAACTGGAACCCAAAAGTGATGAGATCTTGATTTAATTTTTATTTTCATTTTGATGCATTAAAGAGCAGATACAAAGTAAAACTATTTACACATCCGATCATACTTACCACTACAAACCGCATTAAGTAGTGAAATCATAATAAATAATCATTTTCAACCAGCACCTCAGCTTTATAAGAGATGCTTAATCCTTGCCATTTTTTGCAATTAAGTCATTCTTTTAAAGAATCACTAACAATGACTTAAATTAAATTAAATTAGTTTCCAAGTCCTAGAATCTCCCGAGACTAGGTCCTAATATAATTTATGAATATTAAAATACAAAACAACTGTTATTATAACATATAGGATATAAAGAACTTTATGGTATTAGATATGGAAATACTGTACAATACAAAGAGCTTTACACACAACTTAACAATAAGCATCATAACAATGTGAGATCTGCACAAACAAGATATCAGTAAAAACAATTTTTTCAGTTATTATTTCAACAATGTTGTATCTGGTTTCAATTTAATCACATCATTTTAAATTGATGGGTTTCAACTGACTGATTATACAACTTTACCAGTTACTATATAAAAGCTCATATTACCCTTCAAGACAGTTACTGATGTATGTATCAGACCAATCTTTTTTCATGCATGGAAAAATATCAAATGGTTATAGATAATATTTTGAAAAAAAATTACCTTATCCTCTGTAATACTGATTGATGTAATGTTTATCATACTCTTGCTCCAATTTTTGAAATCAAGTTATTTGGAGCATTAATTAACGTTAATTACAAATGTTCACAATATGAGACGTGTAACTGACTTTTTATCTGCACCAGCTCTGAGTGCCTCTAAACACTATCATAACATTCGCTCAGCGATTATCATACCCTAAACCTCATAAATCTAATCTTCCTTGATTCATAACTTTCAGTATCTGATTTACTAGCATGGGCAATCATCCCTTAATTTCAAATTCAATGTCTGACAACTTTAAATTCCCCTATATCCAAGTACAATCCTCAGTGGCTGACAGCTGAATGACAGTGTCTGATTTGTTGTCCATATCCACACCAGAATCACTCCTGTGTTTATCGTTGCCTTTCTGCATGGCCGTCAGCCGTACCAGCACCTGGCTGGGTATGGTAGACGAGTCATGTGACCAGGGCCGAGATAAATAAGGTCTGTCCAGAGCACTGTTCGATGTCCCCTGCTCTGTACTCAGATTTAATTGACTTTGAGAAAGCCTTTGACTCACAGGAGTGGACCTTTCACCAGTGGTGGTTGTGCTCTGTTCCTGACTACAGTCTGAGCACCTAGTGTTTGTTTTACTGGCATAGAACACAGAAGAGCTGCTGGAATGCACACTGGGAGTGAGATTCAGGGAGGAATTGAGGCTGGTGAAACCCGGACTCAGATCCATTGAACACAAGCTGGACACATTGGAGGATGACCTTTGGCCTGACCTCGGGTCACTGAGTGACCTTTGACTTGACCTCTGGACACTGAGTGGCTGAGAATCATTCACTTGTAACAGAGACTGAGCCACCACAGTTGGTAACAGTGGTTGTGATACATGATAGTCCCTCCTACTGTCTCCTCTATTGAAATCCTCCTCCTCCTTCCTCGTCCTCATCTCCCCCCTCCTCCTCACCATGGTGTATCTCTGCACTGACAGAGAAGGTGTTACTGCTGGTGCTACTCATGCTTTGTCTGTTCTGGATCTGCTGTAGAGCTGTAGATACATAAGAAAACATGTCGTGATCTGGTGAGGGTGGAGGTAAGGGGCTCCGTAGGGTGGACTGCTGACCACTGAACTGCTCTGTATAGTGATGTACCCCTTGGTCAAAGACCTCTCCCCCCTGTGGTGTCTCCTGCTGTGACACCCCTGTCGCCTCCTCCTCAGAGCCACTGCTCAGTAATGGCTGACTGGGGTCCTCAGAGTCTGCCTGGCTTTGGGCAGATGTGTCGTTATTGGCAGCTCGTGATTTGACGGTCAGGACCACTTGATCGTTGGAGTGTGGGCGCATGATCGTTATGTCGTGCTCTGGGTTGTGATGCATGTTGAATGTTGGCAGACGGCCATTCACCACACACGGGTCCTAGAAAATAGAAAAATAAAATTCCTGTCAATCTTTTCAAATAGATTTATTACAGGGTTTTAAGTATGCAATACATATTGTCAGAATTATGTCTATTTACATTGAAGTACCTTTATAGAGAAAAATAATTATACCGTCATAATGAAGTAATGGTATAAACTCTGAGAATTTTTTTACAATTAAAGCATTGATTTTGATGTCAAAGTTCTTGTATTCTTGATCTTGAAGATATTCATTACATCATGAGAGCCAAGAGGTGAATTATCTTACCTGTAGACACTGGTTTAACTGGTGTATGATGGATTCAAAATTTGGTCTCATTTCAGGCACCCCATGCCAACACTGCACCATTATAGCATATCTGGAAGATGGAAAAATAGATGGATTTAAGCTAATGTATTAATAAAAAACTAAATATTATCTATAATAATTAAAAAACAAATTACAATTAAATTATAACTGTTTTTTGGAAAAAACAAGAGCAAAATTAACTGAATTACTGAAAGAAAAACCAAATGAAACGTGTTATTATCATCACACTTTTCTTAATCATTTCACTTAGGTGACATTGTTACTTCACAGATGAAAATAACATTTTGTGTCATTTCAAAAGACGTTAAATACTTCCCTCTAAAATACCATAGCAATGTTTAGATTCACCACTGCAGGGATACTTACACTGAAGGTGGACAGTTTTCAGGGGGATCCATACGTCCACCAGATGTCACTAGTTGCATGACATCCTGGTTTCCTCGCCCTGTGTACGGCATATAGCCAAGAGAGAACAGTTCCCAGAGCAGGATTCCAAAAGACCTGAAAAAATTAATATATAGATAAAATAATGAGTACCGTGAGGAATTCACATTAAACTAACTTGCAAAATCAAATCTTTTTTTTTTTTTTTGATGAAGCACTTAAATGTACTTGGTAAAAAGATATGACAATAGCAGCTACAAACTAAAAAACTGCCCTTAGGCATTAACATTATACTGTTATATTACTGTTACCTACATATTGCTCAAAACTTACCAGACATCAGTTTTTGAAGTGAAAATTCCATCCAAGAATGCTTCTGGGGGCATCCATTTCACTGGCAGCATGGCTTTCCCACCTTTTCTGTAGTAATCAGCTCTGTAAGGTAATGTCACATTTGTTAATTTCTTTAAAATACGTGTTCTCCAAAAATATATGTAAAATATCATCTTTACATTTCTCTGTTAATTATGCCATAACTCTTTGACTAGTGCTTCACCTGATATAATTTTGAAGATGGTGAACAAAGATGCTTGAATAATGAAAAATGAGTTTTGGATTGACTTTGGACGACCATTTAGAACCACTGCAGAATGGCATATTTCAGATTTAATAATCTAATCACATGTCCTTTGCTGGCATAAAAACCACTCCTGTGATCACAACCCAACACAATCACATCTAACACACTCCTAAAACCCTTCACTTACCTGTAGATATCTCTTGCCATGCCAAAGTCAGCTATCTTGGCCACGCGGTCAGCATCTTTACTGGTCAGCAGACAGTTTCTGGCCGCGATGTCTCTGTGGATGAAGTGGTGTTCTTCAAGATGGTGGCACCCCTTGGCCACATCAATGGCCAGTTTTAGGAGGTCCAGCATACTGACCTTGGGGGCTTCATTCTGGAAAAACAGAGGGGTGTCATGGGTACTACTGTATGTGTTCTCTAACTTTACATTTGTCACATAAATTTATGGATTCAAATATACATATTTAAAGCATCTTCCTTTCCCCTTCATTCAGCAATGAATTCTGTTATACCAGTTTTGTTAAGTTATGGTTCCCACAGGCAAATTTGTTTTTAATGGTAGAGAACTTAATTATTACCTGTTTGGGTCTTGCTTCTCTAAGGAAAGTTTTCAGGTCGCCACCCTCCAGCAGTTCCAGCACAATGAACCGGGGGTGTTTGTCAAAACACACGCCAATAAAGCGTACTATGTTGGGGTGATGGAATTTGCTAAAAAAAGGAAAGAACCTCAATGTGAAATTAATAAAAACAATCATTACTTGACAAGTGATGTGTTCAAGGAAAAAGAGCTGAGTAAATATAACTAAAATTTTGAAATTCCAAGAAAAAGAGTTGAATGAATTATAATAAAAATATATATTCCCTGCAATAGAGCAAAAAAATTATAATTCAAAATTTAATATTCCAGGCAGAAAAGAGCTGACTAAATAATAATTTTTAAAACATGATATTTCAGGAAAAAGAGCAGACTAAATCATCATTTATAATCCATCCAAGGTAAAAGAGGTACTATAGAAATCCCCCGTACCTCATGATCATGGCCTCCATCAAAAAGTCCATCTCAGCTTGGTCTGTGCACAGAGAAGGCAATGTCTGAAACAAAAGACCATCTTATTATATAGAGAGACTCTTTTTGTAAATAAAGTCATAAAAACCTCTGTGTGTGTGTGTGTGTGTGTGTGTGTGTGTGTGTGTAAGCACAGGTATGAGGTTATATATTTTTATCTTAGTATATATGGTCAGTTCCATTTATACTTAAAAATATATGGAACTTATCGCCTAATGTACTCTATGCTGTTCTGCTATAGGTCTGATTATTACATTTTGAAACAGATCACTGTATTATAAAACCAGTCATTACATCAATAATCAAAAGTTATACAATGTATCATTTCTCACCTTGACGGCCACTGGGATGTCACGTGACCCTCTGGACGCGTTGGACAGGTTGCCCTGGTAAACCTCGCCAAATGCACCTTGACCCAAGGCTCTGGAAGATCAGATAAAACCTCAGTGAATAACATGTCTGTTTTGTCAAAATACATTATACACATTATATTTTTATACATAATTATAAGAGTCATTGTTCAGTCATATGAATGTTATAATTGATAAGAGATTTTATTCTTATTTTCTGAATATGAAGAAAAAGGTAAATAGTTGCAAAAAAATCAAACACACCATTAAATATTAAAATGAAAACAATATTCACATAAACCAAATCAACTACTGAAATATGATTATATACAAAAGTGTTTCAAAAAATTTATTTATAATCCATCCCTGTCATCCCTAGAGGCCATCCCTACCTGACTAGCTTCAGGTGATCCCTAGGGATATCCCTCAGCTCTGCCAGCTGGCCACTGGAGAAGCCAAAGTCATAGTTTGGGTTCATTTCTGTGGGAAGAGGGAGGGAGATCTGTCCTTGGCGGAGTCGGCTCAGCTGTTGGTCAGTGCGGTGTGGTGCCTTGTCCAGTTTGGACCCCTTGACCATCTGTCTGTGGCGATAGTGGACTGGAAACATACGAATAATGCATTTTTTTTCATTCAATTGTTAATGCAAACTTATTTCTTAAAAATATTATCATAGACATAATTTAGAGATTTGAAGATATATTATGGCCTCAGCAGAAAAAGAATGTATAAAAAATTTGGCTTGATGTCTAGGAAAACATAAATACTTTCTTTTATACCAATTTCATTTCACATCCCAATCTTTGTTAATATGATGGACAACTAGAAGCACTGATAGATACAAACCTACTTCATACATCTTGCCATCAAGAAAACAAATACATGAAAAATAATAAAATCCTCCACCACCTCCTTCAATAAAACATTTCAAAATCGACCCAAGTCATTCTGTCAACACTTCGTAGACAGCTGCATACTTACCGCCACAAGCCACACAGGCGAAGAACGTGGCGACAGCTGCTATCCCACCCATTGCCATGGCGATGATGTGAGTGACAGAAATGTCAGCTTGGTACAGTGACTGGGGAACAACTGAAAATGTCAGAAAGGTCAGTGAATTAAAGTGGTCACTCCTGTACACGACAGCTGACTGGGGATAAATGTCAGCAGACAGATTTGTGAGTAAAGAATGCACTGAGTAAAAACTAAGAGTAATCTCCCTCTCACATAAAACAATTCATAATTGAATAAGCACCTCATCAAATCATAGATGTATATTATTATCTTTTATTTGGCAAAAAATACATTTTAATGCATAGTCAATAGCAAAGAAAAAAAGTTTTGCTATTTAGAAGAACACATTTAAAATAACAAAGTCAATCAAAAAGGAAACTTGTTTTTAAAATTCTCTCATCAGTGCCTATTTTTTGCTAAAATTACAGCTAGTAGTCTGTTTTTTTTTTCGAAGGCAATTATTTGGAGAACCATGTTTTGAGATATAAATCATCTATATGGTACCTAGACAGGTGGAATTGTCCTGGGCTAGGGTGTGGTCATCTGGGCAGTAGCAGTGATAGAGGTCAGAGGAGAGGTCATCTACTTTGCAGTCATAACCACAGCTACACTCCTCAGTCAGGTAAACCTGGACAAAACCATCTCCAAAGTTGGACTGCAAACCTGGATATATGACAATAGTGAAGTGAGAACCACAGGTTTCTTATATGAGTAGTTAAAAAAATAAAAAATCTATGAAAATTCAGCTAAGGGTTATTACTATGTACATGTCTAAGCTTTGAACACATGACAAAATTAATTTCACTATATTATGTATTACAAAGCAGTTTGACAAATATTAAACATCAAATCTTTTTTTTTTTTTTTTGCTTCAACACAGATCTTTTCTAATACCCTGTCAAAGCTGGGCTTAAACTGTACTTGTCCCTTCTAATTAACAGGACAATTTCAATAAAAACCTACCAGTTTCTTCAGTAATGTCTATACCCTGAGAGCTGATAAATGAGGTTCCACCAAAACCGCTGTCATACGGACTGTTAGTAAAACTAGTGTTCCCACCTGAGGAACAAAGAATTAAATTGATGGAAATGTGATGAAAATGTAACTGGTTGAAAACTTTAAAAAATGTTTAATATGCACAATGATTTTTAAAAATTTTAATGAGACTTGGGAAAACTTATTAAGGCTTCATTCACATGCAATGTCTATTTTCTAAATTCTATTTTCTATTCGCGCTATCTTATGATCACGGTCTGTGCCCTGAATATCCCGCCCCGTAATTACTGGCAGCGCGAGCCAGTTACTTATAGTAACTTATAGTAACTGGCTCGCGCTGCCAGTAATTACGCCGCGGGATATTCAGGTCACAGACCATGATCATAAGACATACCGCGAATAGAAAATAGAATTTAGAAAATAGACATTGCATGTGAACGAAGCCTAAATCTACTTTTCTTTCAGAATGGGTAACATGTCCACATGACACTACACGTGGTATACTTTCATGATTAAGATCCATGATCAATTTAATATTCTTACCTGTGTACCCCCCTCCAGCACCCCCTGCTGTGCAAGCTCCGCCCCCTCCACCAAATCCTCCAGTAATACTCCACAGGCTGCTGGGACAGTTAGAGCCTCCAGTGGCGCCATCTAGCAGTGACTTTCCAGACTGGAGAAGTTGTGACGTTTCTTTCCAACCACCACCAGCACCTGCCAAATAGAGATATAATTGATTAGTCAGCTGATACATTTAAAAATATTGTTTGTCATTTAAAAAAATTATCAAAACAAGCTTTCATCACAAAGTACCAAATTTTCATAATAAGCAAAAAATTAGTTTCTACATCAGTCTATGAAATACAATATGTTTAGTCATTTTTTTTACTTAAATCAGAGTCAGTCATAAATGCTCACCAGGGTTGTCCCTCATTTCCACTCCGTGTCTGCCTCTCCCAGCAGGCTGATTGGTGTTGGTTGCATTACGTGCTATGTTGTCATAGTAACCAGCGCCAGCACCTCCTCCCGCCACTAACAACAGGGTCGGCAGTTCTGAGTTGGAGGATAACTAAAAACAGATATTTATTCATCAAAAAATTATTTCTGTATTAGCAACCAATAATAATAATGAATTTTACTGTTATACATAAATATTTCAAGTAGAAAAAATATAAGAATTGAAAAATCCTATATATGTTAGTAACTATGATTATCATAACACTGACAAAATAAGAAGGAATCCTGTAAATGAAAAATTTACTTTCTAAAAATGATTATTTTTGTAACAGATGATGTTTCAGTTTTATAAACTCACCGTAAATATATAGGTGGCACCACCTCCTCCACCACCTCCTCCATTACTGACAGTGTCGGCGTCTGTCTGCAGGGCTCTAGCGCATCTCTTAGCTGCAGCTGGGTCCTCCTGGAAATATGAGGGGGGGGGGTTAATAACATACTTGCTCCAACTGATTTTTAATCATTTCATCGCCCAGATCATTGTAAATGCAATACATCAGTATATGTTACAAAAGGTGAAACACACCAAGAAACTATTTTTATTAAGACATATTTTTGCATTTTAAAAATAGCAGAAAATGTACTAACCTTCACACTTCCACAGGCACTCTCGCCCTGTTGTCCAACTACCATGTAAATCTTCTGTCCTTTCTTCAGATAGAATTTGGCAGCTGCCGTGGCTCCATGCCCCGGGGTGTGGCTCCTGACTCCATATCCCCCACTAGCACCTGACGCAGACAACCTGCAATATTCATATACATTATTACTTATGAATGTATATATGCAATTAAATACTTTATATCAACTAAAAACCAATTATATAATTTTATTAACAATTTTCGAATATGTCAATAAACCATTTTAGCAAATGTTATTTCCTTTTTCTCTTTTCCTTGTGGGTTTTAAGTTTGAAGTTATCAGAAACTGGATAACTGTCTATTAAAGATAAACTATACACATTTGAAAATGTTCCATAGTGATATTTCCATATCTTTATATATCCTAATTATCTTTACCAATTCAGACCTTAAAAATGACAAATATCTGAAAGTGTGACCTATTTAGAAATGGTATAAAACATCAAATCTAAGTGCTAAGATTGGCTGACCAATGATATTTTGTTAGAAAAAAATTGCCTTTTTCTCATGCACATTTAAATTTGGCGCAAAAATCACTGAAAGAATTATTTTGATAAACTTACGTGTATATTCCTGAGATAGGAACTGTCCAAACTTGTGCCCCTGTGAACTGTCCCCCCTCCTCCACTGTCACCCTCATGTCTGTGTTCCTATACTCAGTATAACACTGATCTCCACTGGGGCCATGTGCACCCTTTGATCCACAGGGTGTAAACCTATAGGCTGGAATATGAACAGGTTACATCTATGATTATCATAGTCACATACACAGGTTGTATTACACAGGTTGTGAGTTGAAAGGGATGCCCAGTGTAACATGGGCTCTAAGTGAATCCAGAGGTACCCTGTATTTTGGGGGGGTTTTGAGTGACTCCATGGTACCCTGTAATACATGGGTTACAAGTGACTCCATGATACCCTTTGATTCAAGCAGGGTTACAGTAAATGTTTCAGAGTGACATAAAGTACATCACTGCTATTAATACAATCTGATGTCTACATTTCTGTAGTCAGCATTACACTGTTTATGTGTGAATCCACACGTACTACTTGAGCTATGGGAACTAAATTTACAGGATGATAATAAGTCTCTTTACATCATTAATTGTATGATGCATTATCTATTAGGTATTATGTATTATAACATGAGAAAATATATTGAGAAATATATTGAGAATCAATGTTACCATATATTTTCTTTTACATTCTGCACAGTACTTCACATTACATTTCACACAACCTTATACCATTATAATGTTTCACATTTCAATTATTATGTTTCTTTGCTTTAAATTTACAGCAGAGCCAATTATAGCTCAAATCAAATAACTCACTTGTTTCCTTTACTTTCTCATTGGCATAAGTGATAATATGAGAGATTTCCTTGGACACAAGCACCGACAGATTTCCTGAAATTGAAGGAAGATCTTAATAATGGCTTGTTCATGGGTATTAACACCTAACAGATTATCTCAAGTTGACAAATTAGGCTTAAAATTTTCATTGGCAATATGAGAGTAAATAAAGTGGAATAATGAGGTTTAGCTGGTCTTCATCTGATATCAATTTCATGCAGGAAGCAAAATACCCAGTAAATGATGTTTTGACATAATAAAACTAAAAACTGGATAATACTACTGTACTTTAACTGACACGATAAGCACATTAAGTCTGGCACCAACTTAGCTGAGGATTCTTTCAGAATATTCAATCACTAAACTTAACACTAGATTTTTTCTATTATCTTAATGACAATTTCATTCCACTCTTTTCAGCAATTCTTCCTTGAGATAACCATGGAAAGAGAAAATGCCAGAAAATTGCCACTTGAGCCTTTACTAGCTGTGTTCGTGCTGACAATCATGAAATGCAGCCAAATATGGTAATATGGCAGAAATAGGTTGTAAAAAAACTTACCAAAAGAAGCAATGATTTCAGTGTCACTTTCTGGTCTTGGTGTTGATTTAAATGCAGCTTGGTTTACATTTTTCAAAATACCTGAAAAATGATTATAATAAAGATAGAGAAATTTGGGATAATACATCATGTAAATCAAAACCTTAGGTTTAATTGTTAGGATACATACCATAACTGTATATCTAGCCATACATATCTGTCTCAGTACAATTGGTACTATAGATAGGCATCCATGCCCAACAGATTTCTGTTCATATCAACTTTTAAATAAGGAAAAATGGAAACTAAGAACCAATGTTTTTTTTTCTAATACCTACCCAGACCAAAGCATTCTGGTGACAGAGAGATGTCATCAATAGCTATGTCACCACGGAAACGCAGGCCACGGGTGGCAACAAATTCTAAAGAGTAGCTGAAATAGATCATAAATGTCAAGTATTAGTTTTGTTTCTTAATGATCAAAAAAGAAAGCGAATATAACTTACCAAACTTTCTTATTTGTCTATCTATGTGTGATCCAAAACATGATTCATTAACAGTTACATATAAATATACCAAATTGTTTGAGGAAGCAAGGAATAATTCCAAAACATTAATTGTTAGATAACAACACATCACTGAAATTCTGAACATTTTTACAAATCCTTCAAATAACATATTTTTGGAGAAGAAAATAAGCAACTCACTTTGAAGTCACGTTAAGTAAGGGGATGGCGACATATTGCCATGCTGCACTACTCCTGCCAACCTCCGCCTTCCACAGGTTTCTTCTGGTTCTGCCACGATTCTCCACCATTTCTAGCTCCAGACGCCCCATGTTACGTCCATACATGTGGTAGAAGAACCTCAACTAGAGAGGAAATAACAAATGGATTGGAAACAGGTGATAGATAAAGGCACTTTGATTATAAGACATTTACAAATGAATGCTTATCATTAGAATTTCTTTTATATATATATGAGAGGGAGAGAGAGAAAAAGAGAAAGAGAGATACAGTACTAGTACATCATTTCTTAAAAATAAGTTCTCTGCAATAGATAATCATGACTCGAGTCAATTTTGAGCTCCATCTTTAAATTGGCTGCCATTTCGAAGACACTATGTTAAATTTGGGGCATTTTTTCATGAAAGAGCCACAAGTTGCTGGCTTCAATGGGAACCTTTCTCTGCCATACATCCTGAGCTATCCTACCTTACAAGACTGGTAATATGGTAATGATGGTATAAAGTTATATCCTACCTTACAAGACTGGTAATATGGTAATGACGGTATAAAGTTATATCCTACCTTACAAGACTGGTAATATGGTAATGACGGTATAAAGTTATATCCTACCTTACAAGACTGGTAATATGGTAATGACGGTATAAAGTTATATCCTACCTTACAAGACTGGTAATATGGTAATGACGGTATAAAGTTATATCCTACCTTACAAGACTGGTAATATGGTAATGACGGTATAAAGTTATATCCTACCTTACAAGACTGGTAATATGGTAATGACGGTATAAAGTTATATCCTACCTTACAAGACTGGTAATATGGTAATGACGGTATAAAGTTATATCCTACCTTACAAGACTGGTAATATGGTAATGACGGTATAAAGTTATATCCTACCTTACAAGACTGGTAATATGGTAATGACGGTATAAAGTTATATCCTACCTTACAAGACTGGTAATATGGTAATGACGGTATAAAGTTATATCCTACCTTACAAGACTGGTAATATGGTAATGACGGTATAAAGTTATATCCTACCTTACAAGACTGGTAATATGGTAATGACGGTATAAAGTTATATCCTACCTTACAAGACTGGTAATATGGTAATGACGGTATAAAGTTATATCCTACCTTACAAGACTGGTAATATGGTAATGACGGTATAAAGTTATATCCTACCTTACAAGACTGGTAATATGGTAATGACGGTATAAAGTTATATCCTACCTTACAAGACTGGTAATATGGTAATGACGGTATAAAGTTATATCCTACCTTACAAGACTGGTAATATGGTAATGACGGTATAAAGTTATATCCTACCTTACAAGACTGGTAATATGGTAATGACGGTATAAAGTTATATCCTACCTTACAAGACTGGTAATATGGTAATGACGGTATAAAGTTATATCCTACCTTACAAGACTGGTAATATGGTAATGACGGTATAAAGTTATATCCTACCTTACAAGACTGGTAATATGGTAATGACGGTATAAAGTTATATCCTACCTTACAAGACTGGTAATATGGTAATGACGGTATAAAGTTATATCCTACCTTACAAGACTGGTAATATGGTAATGACGGTATAAAGTTATATCCTACCTTACAAGACTGGTAATATGGTAATGACGGTATAAAGTTATATCCTACCTTACAAGACTGGTAATATGGTAATGACGGTATAAAGTTATATCCTACCTTACAAGACTGGTAATATGGTAATGACGGTATAAAGTTATATCCTACCTTACAAGACTGGTAATATGGTAATGACGGTATAAAGTTATATCCTACCTTACAAGACTGGTAATATGGTAATGACGGTATAAAGTTATATCCTACCTTACAAGACTGGTAATATGGTAATGACGGTATAAAGTTATATCCTACCTTACAAGACTGGTAATATGGTAATGACGGTATAAAGTTATATCCTACCTTACAAGACTGGTAATATGGTAATGACGGTATAAAGTTATATCCTACCTTACAAGACTGGTAATATGGTAATGACGGTATAAAGTTATATCCTACCTTACAAGACTGGTAATATGGTAATGACGGTATAAAGTTATATCCTACCTTACAAGACTGGTAATATGGTAATGACGGTATAAAGTTATATCCTACCTTACAAGACTGGTAATATGGTAATGACGGTATAAAGTTATATCCTACCTTACAAGACTGGTAATATGGTAATGACGGTATAAAGTTATATCCTACCTTACAAGACTGGTAATATGGTAATGACGGTATAAAGTTATATCCTACCTTACAAGACTGGTAATATGGTAATGACGGTATAAAGTTATATCCTACCTTACAAGACTGGTAATATGGTAATGACGGTATAAAGTTATATCCTACCTTACAAGACTGGTAATATGGTAATGACGGTATAAAGTTATATCCTACCTTACAAGACTGGTAATATGGTAATGACGGTATAAAGTTATATCCTACCTTACAAGACTGGTAATATGGTAATGACGGTATAAAGTTATATCCTACCTTACAAGACTGGTAATATGGTAATGACGGTATAAAGTTATATCCTACCTTACAAGACTGGTAATATGGTAATGACGGTATAAAGTTATATCCTACCTTACAAGACTGGTAATATGGTAATGACGGTATAAAGTTATATCCTACCTTACAAGACTGGTAATATGGTAATGACGGTATAAAGTTATATCCTACCTTACAAGACTGGTAATATGGTAATGACGGTATAAAGTTATATCCTACCTTACAAGACTGGTAATATGGTAATGACGGTATAAAGTTATATCCTACCTTACAAGACTGGTAATATGGTAATGACGGTATAAAGTTATATCCTACCTTACAAGACTGGTAATATGGTAATGACGGTATAAAGTTATATCCTACCTTACAAGACTGGTAATATGGTAATGACGGTATAAAGTTATATCCTACCTTACAAGACTGGTAATATGGTAATGACGGTATAAAGTTATATCCTACCTTACAAGACTGGTAATATGGTAATGACGGTATAAAGTTATATCCTACCTTACAAGACTGGTAATATGGTAATGACGGTATAAAGTTATATCCTACCTTACAAGACTGGTAATATGGTAATGACGGTATAAAGTTATATCCTACCTTACAAGACTGGTAATATGGTAATGACGGTATAAAGTTATATCCTACCTTACAAGACTGGTAATATGGTAATGACGGTATAAAGTTATATCCTACCTTACAAGACTGGTAATATGGTAATGACGGTATAAAGTTATATCCTACCTTACAAGACTGGTAATATGGTAATGACGGTATAAAGTTATATCCTACCTTACAAGACTGGTAATATGGTAATGACGGTATAAAGTTATATCCTACCTTACAAGACTGGTAATATGGTAATGACGGTATAAAGTTATATCCTACCTTACAAGACTGGTAATATGGTAATGACGGTATAAAGTTATATCCTACCTTACAAGACTGGTAATATGGTAATGACGGTATAAAGTTATATCCTACCTTACAAGACTGGTAATATGGTAATGACGGTATAAAGTTATATCCTACCTTACAAGACTGGTAATATGGTAATGACGGTATAAAGTTATATCCTACCTTACAAGACTGGTAATATGGTAATGACGGTATAAAGTTATATCCTACCTTACAAGACTGGTAATATGGTAATGACGGTATAAAGTTATATCCTACCTTACAAGACTGGTAATATGGTAATGACGGTATAAAGTTATATCCTACCTTACAAGACTGGTAATATGGTAATGACGGTATAAAGTTATATCCTACCTTACAAGACTGGTAATATGGTAATGACGGTATAAAGTTATATCCTACCTTACAAGACTGGTAATATGGTAATGACGGTATAAAGTTATATCCTACCTTACAAGACTGGTAATATGGTAATGACGGTATAAAGTTATATCCTACCTTACAAGACTGGTAATATGGTAATGACGGTATAAAGTTATATCCTACCTTACAAGACTGGTAATATGGTAATGACGGTATAAAGTTATATCCTACCTTACAAGACTGGTAATATGGTAATGACGGTATAAAGTTATATCCTACCTTACAAGACTGGTAATATGGTAATGACGGTATAAAGTTATATCCTACCTTACAAGACTGGTAATATGGTAATGACGGTATAAAGTTATATCCTACCTTACAAGACTGGTAATATGGTAATGACGGTATAAAGTTATATCCTACCTTACAAGACTGGTAATATGGTAATGACGGTATAAAGTTATATCCTACCTTACAAGACTGGTAATATGGTAATGACGGTATAAAGTTATATCCTACCTTACAAGACTGGTAATATGGTAATGACGGTATAAAGTTATATCCTACCTTACAAGACTGGTAATATGGTAATGACGGTATAAAGTTATATCCTACCTTACAAGACTGGTAATATGGTAATGACGGTATAAAGTTATATCCTACCTTACAAGACTGGTAATATGGTAATGACGGTATAAAGTTATATCCTACCTTACAAGACTGGTAATATGGTAATGACGGTATAAAGTTATATCCTACCTTACAAGACTGGTAATATGGTAATGACGGTATAAAGTTATATCCTACCTTACAAGACTGGTAATATGGTAATGACGGTATAAAGTTATATCCTACCTTACAAGACTGGTAATATGGTAATGACGGTATAAAGTTATATCCTACCTTACAAGACTGGTAATATGGTAATGACGGTATAAAGTTATATCCTACCTTACAAGACTGGTAATATGGTAATGACGGTATAAAGTTATATCCTACCTTACAAGACTGGTAATATGGTAATGACGGTATAAAGTTATATCCTACCTTACAAGACTGGTAATATGGTAATGACGGTATAAAGTTATATCCTACCTTACAAGACTGGTAATATGGTAATGACGGTATAAAGTTATATCCTACCTTACAAGACTGGTAATATGGTAATGACGGTATAAAGTTATATCCTACCTTACAAGACTGGTAATATGGTAATGACGGTATAAAGTTATATCCTACCTTACAAGACTGGTAATATGGTAATGACGGTATAAAGTTATATCCTACCTTACAAGACTGGTAATATGGTAATGACGGTATAAAGTTATATCCTACCTTACAAGACTGGTAATATGGTAATGACGGTATAAAGTTATATCCTACCTTACAAGACTGGTAATATGGTAATGACGGTATAAAGTTATATCCTACCTTACAAGACTGGTAATATGGTAATGACGGTATAAAGTTATATCCTACCTTACAAGACTGGTAATATGGTAATGACGGTATAAAGTTATATCCTACCTTACAAGACTGGTAATATGGTAATGACGGTATAAAGTTATATCCTACCTTACAAGACTGGTAATATGGTAATGACGGTATAAAGTTATATCCTACCTTACAAGACTGGTAATATGGTAATGATGGTATAAAGTTAAATCCTACCTTACAAGACTGGTAATATGGTAATGATGGTATAAAGTTGATGGCAGGAGGGGGCGGGAAGCTGCTGCTGACCAGGATGGCGGTGTCAAGTGGCTGCTGCTTACTGGCCTCGATGTATAAATAGTAGCCTGCGGAGTGGAGAAAACATGTTTTGATTGGCTCTATTATTTTACAAAATCATTATAAAAAATTTAAAAGAATATCAAAATAGATAGTGACTACAATGTATTTATGAAAATATAAATATATAAATAGTATATGGATTTGATATAAAGTAATGCAATGCATTGCTATGCAGTTCAGTACAAGTTACCAAAGCTGTATGAGGAATACACAAGTATTGAGATTTGCATGAAGAACAGATAGTGCATAGCAAGAGGTGTGATCTGTTGGCAAAGAGCTTAAGTAAGTAAGAAAGCAAGTGGTGTAAGACCATTACACATGAGACAGTGGTACACTAGTTATTGTAAACAATGGCTTTTAATTTTCAGATAAATCATCTTTGGTACAAATGAAACAAATATGATTTACACTGCTGAAATTGAGATAAGATGAAGGCATATTTTATTATCTAGGTCAAATAACACCAATTACTGATATTATGTTGCCAGTATCGCTTTACATTAAGAACAATAATCATGAATGTTCTTGATTGTTACTGACAGGTATGAGATAAAAACAATTATTCTTGAATTAAGGCCACTCAAGCTGTTACAGTGGCAATGGAATTCATTGTGACAATAAGCTGTTTATTGGACAGACCAATAGATGTTAGTTAACAGACACAGGTGACAATAAGTCACTGGCAATAAATTGCTTTTAGAAGAAGCTTGGCTGAATATGTAGTTTTTTGTCCAGAAGATATCTCAAGGACCAAGAAGCATCATCTTATTTTGCTATTTCTTTGTGCTCAGAATACTGCCTAATTAATGGTTATTCTAAAAGATATTCAGTGTCTCCGTGATTTTATGAAAATCAGTTTCAAATATAGTTTAAATTGTTTCTTCTAATCAAAACCTTTTTTCAGAATTATTTCATAACCAATATTTTGATTTTTTTTTGCATTTTATAAAGATTGATGCAGCTGTTAATATTAAATTTGAATAAACTTAATAAAACTATAAATAAAAAAATAATCTTTTTTTAACATTGCTTTTTTGAAGAAACATGTTTTTTTGTGATAACTCACCAGACTTGTTTTTCAAGGTGTTATCTGTCTGGGGCCCCGTGGAGAAGGAAGGGGTGGACCCCCTGTTTCTACTCCAATCAAAATGATCTCCTCTTTCCACATTCCTCCAACCACACCAACCATCTTCAAATGTGCAATGTGCATTTTTGGGCAGGGCATCTAGAATAAAATGATGTTGTTCGACAGTTTAGCAACTGAAACTTTGAAAACTAAACAATGTTTCAAAGAAAAAGTGAAATATTCACTGTGCACACTGTGGCATGTAGACTAAAGGGATCTGATAAGTTACCAGTTAAAAAACTTATACAATGACATGACAGTGAATCTATGCTGTATTGAAATGTAAGGCTTCAAGCATTCAGTGTCACAACCCACCACAATCCTGCAGCTCATCAGCTCCTCCGCTGCAATCTGTGTTGATGTCACAGACCTGAGCTCTGTCAACACAGCGCTGGTTTTCACACATAAACTGGTGCAGGTGGCATGTGTCGCGTACTGGAACATCTAGTAATAACACAATAATAAACTTAAGAATACAACCTTAGCTATGAATTATACAAACATAAGTAATGTGTTTCATCAGCCATTAAAATAATCTCTTATTTGATTGTAAATTAAATCTGACAACACACAAGTGATATTTAGTTAACTTTTAATGTTTTGACTCAAGATAAAAGTGAACCTTTAAAGAAAAACAAAAAAAATAAAGCTATTTATGGGTGTCTGGGGGCATCAATGCCCAAATATCAGGATTTCTGGATAAATCAACAAGACTTTCATGTCTACTTAACTTTGTGTCTCGACTGCTTTCAAACTTGAAAGTATCTTAATCACCAGTAACTCATCAGGATTTAAGTTCTTAACTTTTAATCATGGTGCCTTAATGAAATAGACAAGAATAAAGGGGAAAGGATATATTTACCCACCATTCATTACCTAGATTTGGCCATAAAGGTAATCCTTCTAAAAACAGCATTAATTCAACGTAAAATGTACATCTAAAGCTTTTAGTTTCAAAGATCACACTCATTAATTGTGGGATGTTATTCCAAGAAGGTGAATTTTTATGTTCATATTTTCAAGAATGTTTTTCAGTTAAGGTGGTATAATGTCCATTCTCCTGCCCACTTTTACTTTGATGAAACAACACCAGATCTCTGGGGATTTGTTTTAATTCCAAGAACATGGCTATTACTGGCAATCACACCTTAAGGCAAATGTTCCATGTATTTGTCATCAAACTTAACACAATTGCACAGTTTTCTGGCACTTTCCTATATCATGCAATACTGAATCCGAGCCTTGTTTTGCAAAAGACCTCTAAGCTGAAAATTGCATCGATTTTTAGACATTGGAAAATTTACATTTGTTTAAGAAAAAGGGCATCAAATTTACTCCCTGCACCTCAGTGATCTATAGAAATATATGTGTGAACTCAGCAATCAGTGATCAAAGAAAACCCACACTGACTTTTAATTGTACTGTATTAGGAACATGTTCCTGCATACATAGAAACTATTTTAATTCTAAAAGAGGTTAAATGAGGAGGGCCAGTCCACCGCCATTACACAGTCCTCAGCAAGGGCCAGTTTAAAATACTATACAAGTTCTTCAAAAATTCAGTAAAAATAAAGTAATGTAAAATGGTTGATTTGGTTTCTAAACTGACTTTTCAGAATACTGTCAGCTTGAAAGAGGGATTCTAATTTTAATCTTAAAAGACCAGAGAAGATGTTTTAAGGATTAATTAAAGGCTAATTGCAATCAATGCAAGATTGCCCTTCCCAGTTGAGACTAATTTTGAAGGAGAAATATGTTTTTAATGTTTGGCATTACACACATTTAGCTGTCATTAAGTCTGTGACCAAATATTACAACAGCCATAACATAAATAAAAAAAGTAAATATATGAAATGTGGCTGGACATGAGATATTACCAAGAACAATCAACTATAAACATTATTCACTGTGACTAAAAAACTAGCAAGTGCACTATATATCATTATACCACCCACCACCCTATTTTCAATCAAGGTTGACTATTTTTTCAAAAATCTGTACTTGACAAGTTTGGTGAATAATCAACACATGGTGTATTGAAATATTGTAGAATTAGGCAAGAAAACTTGTCATAAATCTCTGAAGGCAATATTTCATGAAACCAGCTCATGTTATCACACTAAGAAAACATTTCTCATCAACAGCTGACACTGATTTCTGTCACATTTCATATATTACGTCAATATGTAACAAAATTCATTTAAGTGTTGTTCGCTCTCTCTCATAATGGTTAGGATTTTCATATTGATTTTACTTCAAAAACAAATTTAACATTCTATGCTGAAGACCACTATGTAATTTATTATGCTTTTTAATAACTCAATATTTGCTAGACTGTAGTAAAAATTTACATTCAGATAATAAATCAAACTAAATAAATCACATTCTAGCTTGACAGTGGAGTTCACAGCGAGAGGTCATGAATGTGTCACAGCTTGGACCCTGAAAAGGGGACACCATTTTTTTTCTGAAGCACGCAGGTGTGAAGTGAAAATAAAATGAAAAAGGAGAAATTACCAGACTTTATGGGGACATCTGCCTCATAAAGTGACACTTAAAGAAACTGACACACGTCTCGGCCATAGGCATTAAACAGCCTGCGAGGCAAGTGTCAATATTGCGACACATCCTTCAAGTATTAACGATAATCTTTAAAGGAGCATTATAGCAAATTTGTTATGAGAGATTTTTAGTATAACCAGGAAGAAATAGCAGAAATAGTTTTGAAACCACATTTACAAAAAATAATGAAAAGAAGAAATAGAAATTGTCACCAGAATGGCAGTAAAAAATTCAAACAACACTTGAAAAATACTGAACTGCATAGTGTCTTGCACTTTTTCTTATGAACATATTTTTCTCTGTAGATTTTTCATAATTTGCCACCACAACATAATTCTGATATAAAGGTATCTAACCCTGAAATGATGCAGCACTCGTTACCAATCAACTCAATTTTTATTTTGGATCCTTCACTCGTCAACAATTTAAACTTATCCAATACAGAAATTGCGCAGAAATCTAAGGCACTTCACTAATCTACCCAACATTCAGTTATTTCATGATTTTTACATTTTTGTTACTGACCCTAATCAAGATTCTGAATTAAAAGCCACTCATTATACAGATTACTTTTATAAAAGTTTAAGGAATATAAATAAACCCTTTTTGGGGTTGTAAAATTGATTAAAAAAGCATTCAAATCAAGGTGAGATATTACTGTAGATCAGTGTAATATGTTCCCCCTTCCTAACCTTTTACATCAGTAATATACTACTTTATATTCCACCACATGAAAACTCTCCAGTAATTTTCTCTGTGCCCTATTAGTTCCAAAATTAATTTCTTTCTTGCTGTTCTAAGTGAGAATTACCCTGGCTATGAAATATAAATTAAAAGCTAAAATAAGGGCTGCTCTGCACCTAATAATACCTTCAATCTTTTTGATGCAGTTGCCTGTGATTCACTACGGCCTTATTGCATGTCTATTATAATGAACATAGTAATAAAATAAGGTTAAAAAGCTTGACTCTCCCAGTCACCTATAGTCTCCAAAGATTTGCTTCAAGCTGGAAAGATAAAAATACTTCTTCTAAGCGCCTGAGCTTTTCCATCTCAACGCACCTGGTCATTAGCATAGACTGGTTTGTTTAATGAAGCTTAGGCCCCCCAACGCAGAGTGTCAGTGTATAACAGTCAATGAAAATATGTTTTGCAGGCAAAATTCCGAACTCGGCAGTACAACTCATTGCTAACAGTAGCTCCATAGGAGGCAGGCACTATAATTCTAACATTGCTGAAAAAATGATAATCATACATCCAGGACACCGCAAACCACACACTATTCAGACTTTTTCACTGTAAACTAAATCTGCCATAGGCTATCTGGTCCCATAGTGAATCAACTCTAATTTTGTCTCTCCTGAGAAACGTTGAAAGAAACAGAAAGAAAGGTGGATTAAAGCTAAAAAGAAAGTAGAGAAAATGGATGACCAAGCTTTTGCCTTGGTTATATAATATATCAGCAGATTAGAAAATACACTATAATTACAATGTCATATTTTATTCATATACCACATGAGGGAAGCCAAAGTGTTAAACTTCGCAAATTAAACACTAATGTTCACTTTTCACAATGTCATATGACCAGTATTAACTCTCACGAATTCCTTTTCACATATCCGTTCATGCCTCCTACGCCTGCAGCAGGACATAGTAGGAAGTGAGTTTTGACACTGAAGACAGGTAAACTACTACCTTTACTCATCCGCAGATCCTCTTACAACTTACACTTGATGAATGGAGTCACTCCCTTTACGGACAAATTACCGTCAATATAGGCCATTAATTTTTTTCTTTGCACCTACTGAGACTTTTTTCAATTACCTATTGCATTTTATATTTTATTTTTTTTCAATTTTGAAATATGTTATCTCATAAATGTAAGATAAACTGAACATATTTTCAGCTGTAGCTAAGGATAATGAGCATCTGAATCTCACCTAAGATCAGAGCATGATTCAACAGCATATTATTTTACACAAACTCCATCAATATTTTTCACTTTTTTTTACAAACTGACCTTCAATTTAAATCATATAAATCATACATTTCAAATAAATCCATCCATCTATATTATACCTTAAACCTGCCGCAAACCACTCAATTAAGCCCAGCAATTTTACTGCCTTCATATCAGCAAGTTTTCAATCATAACGAAAACTGGCTGAGATAACCTATCGTTGCAAGATACAGTAAATTGATTTGTTTTATTGGTAGAATTATACATCAAAATTAATCAAAATTCCGTACCTGGGTGACAGTTGGGCAGGGTAATGGTGTCCACTGCAATATGTGCTCTATCATCTCCCTCCACTCTCAGGGCTATGAAGTAAAGACGGAAAGGCTCGCTGATGTGGCCGATATTCACTACTTGTTCTTCCCAGCTGAAAAATTTCCCAAAATAATACTAAAATCAATAAATGCACTGAGTCAACTTAAAATACATTAAGTCAATGGAAAAATCTGTTAACCATTAGAAAAAACGTAAGGACTCAAACTAAATTCAAGGACAGCAATTTTTACATTTAAAACCATCATAGGATATGCATTCATACCGCATCTAAAAGAAGAGAGGGATAGGAGATGAGAGAATTTAGTAGATATGGAAAAATGGTCAAATATAAATGGACTAAATTTCTTTTCAATTCATCCAGGGTCTTAATCAAAATCTGTTAGGTCCATCATTACATCACTGTCTGTTCACTGGTATTAATCTGATCATAAATAAATAGCTACAAATCATCTTAGGCTTGACTTTCAATAAAGATCTCCATCTCTTCTTGCAATCAGGTAAGGGGATATAGAGGAGTTGTGCAGATAGATTCAAAATTCAATAGAACAATCTATTCCGCATCTCACAGAGTTATTGGAATGTGGAAACTTTTCATTTCATCAGACAGTCACTTCTGTAAGATAAGATCTAGGACTGGTGCCACACCAGTACGCCATGCCAGGGACATCTTGGCACATACACCACATGTGCATTGCCCAGCGTGCCACAGTCAAGGCCAAAGTGGAATAGCACCTTACATTGTGATGAGGATGATTACAAGTTGGCATCATTTTAAAAGATACTTTAGCCAAGTCAGTTCCAAATGAAATCATTTTTTTCTCAGATGTATGCAAGTGCATGTGATGTGAAATCAAAATATGTGTAATGATTTTTTTAATTTAAATTTTACATAATTTTTACAGATGACAGTCTTAGTTGGCACTGATTTTGCTTTAGGTTTATGGGCTTATTTTTTCCTTCACAAGACTCTGTATTTGATTTAGCAACAAACAATAAAACTCAACGTCTGCAGATTTTACTTCAGTCAAAGTGTTTTACGTATTATCTCTTTGCATTTTCCAATACTTTCACAGGTGTTAAGCAGTTTATCATTCTACATGTTTACAACATTTTCAGAGTAGCTTGTTTCTGCTTGCAGCCACAAAACATCACCTTGTTTTTTGACTGCGTACCTCACGCTTAAGTTCAGTGACACCAAACAGCTAATTCCTCATTTCACCCTATTTAGGACAATTAAAAGTATCAGGAAATATCATCTAATTTAGAATTGAGATGACTGAAACCTGGAAATGCTTGCTTCATTAGGGCAGTATTCTAATTAAAGAAAAGTTTGTGAGGAAGTTTCAAAAATGGTACTTGGATTACCCGTATCTTGGCCAGAAACTCAGCCTGGTAACAGATTGATAACTAATGGTATTTTGGACTGTAAATCTATATTTAAATACAGTCCTATGACAATAATAATAACTCCAGAATTATTTCACTGAGCACAGTTAACTTTGGAAGTGTGTCAATCATTTTTGTGCAGTATTTTGAGTGTCTGGACACCAGCCCATGTTGCATTTCTTCATAACCCAGAAGATAGCTTGAAGGAAAATTGAGAACACCGTGTACGTGTACAAATTAGTCGTCCAATGTCAAGTGCATTTCATGTCTTGATGTCAGCACTTCGTAGCCAATGTTGAACACTTGTGCATGATATGTTTGGCAAAACTATCAGCAGTAAATGCCACATTAATATTTGTCCACATAAAATTTGATTATTTACAACAAAATATGATCCACTTTTTGAAGTAGAAATTTAATATGTGTGGTTTTCTGTTAAAAGCTGTGATATGTTAAAAGAAATGTATTACAGTTAATATCAAAACATCCATCAATCCTCCAACAACACACTCACAAACTAAACATTTTGAGAGAGTTTAAATTTTTGTTTGTGGCCGTGCATTGTAATTGCATATATGCACGTGTGTGTGTGTGTGTGTGTGTGTGTGTGTGTGTGTGTGTGTGTATGTGCATACATTTGGGAAAAAAATTCTTGAAATTATGTTCAACAAAAATGCTATATTAATGTCTTCTCTGTCTTTCATCAGAACACACATCATGCTGCATGGAAATGACAAGGCAGAGGCTAGATATAGCAGATACAGAAGGTTTGTAATTAATATGGCCAAACCAAATGCAAAACCCTCTTGATTAAGTACATTAAAACTAAAGAAAATATTCATTTTTTCTTGACATTAATTCCAGACAGTTTCCATTAACAGTGTCAAAACCTTTATGAGAATGCACTAGTAAAGATTCCAGACAGACACGAGATCCCCTTTCTTTACGGAAGCTATTAAGACTTCATCTTAACACGCAATGGGCCAGTGACTGACGATAGCTGCAAGGGAACTACAATGAATTACATCACCTGTTGTTATAAAAGTGTTAGCCCGTGTCTGGTCATAAAAATATTCTTTTAGAGATTTTCGCCTTGTGGCACTGTAGTGTAGTCAATGTAGTAACACTTGTACATCTACATTCCCATGGCAGAACTCGCACAAATAATAATAACAATAATAACAGACTAGGAGGAGAAAGATATTATTCAGTTGTATGCCCACAGCCAAAAGCCAATCTCTCTGTAAAGACTGTAAAGATCTGCCACGAACTTTGATGTACTTATAACAAGTCAAGTGCACTTTCAGAGAAGTAGTAACAATCTACAAGTTCCTGTCATGTCGTTTTATGTATTGCTTTGGTAAACGGTGTCAGTTCAGTATGATCTTTTTCATTGCTTGGGGTCATTCATTTTTCTTACTTTTTATCCTAATATCTTTGTCTCTGTTTTATTTTCCCAGCTTTGTTCTTGTCATTTCTTTTTTTTTAATGGTGCTAGGAAGTACCGGGCAGCGCTGTTTCACATAAAGACCCCCCTGTATACTGGGAATTGGTTACGATGTCATTTCTCACACCTCTTAGGCAAATTGCAACAGAGTATCACCAATACTACTACAGCTCACTACCTTAATTATTAATGGCTTATTTTGCCCCTGTGGTTAGTTTTTTTTTTTTTTTTTTTTTGCAATATGAAGACATGTTAGAAAATATGCCTCATTCACAGCATTTTTTCAAAAAGTCAATATCTAAAATGTGAAAAACTAAATTTATCAAATATCTTCCCCCAAAATATATTTTTTGTTGTTCTATTATCCTTGTGAAACATCAAGTGATCGACTCATCTCTCTCACTCTCTCTCTTTTTCAACTCACCTATTTTCCAAGAAAGCCGTGACATTTTTCAGTGTCTTGGTGCCATTGGAAACCGTGTGTATCCTTATCATTAAAGCCTGCTTCCCAACCACATGCATAAAGAAGTGGACTTGGCAGTGGGGGCCACTCTGATCAAACCAGGGGCTCTTCAACACCGCCCCTGTCACATTAGCATCAGCAACTGCATAACGACCTAAAAGAAAAATAATAGATTTGCATAAATTTGAGAAATGTTAACAATGTGTTTATAATAAGTTTAATTTTGAAAACTGTACATTACATTTTTATAAAAGGAAAACAGATAATAAATAGGTTATCAGTATGTACAATAAACTTGATCAGTAAAGACGTGATATCAGCTTTCTTGCATCTTATTTGTATTTTTTTATATTTATTTTGGCATTAGAGATAAACCTATATATTATCAATAGGGGAAAAGAGGATAACATTGAAGTTCAAATTACCAAAGAGAACACAGTGCATTGAGTGTATCACTTTGGAACAAACCTACTGTATCAATACATTTATAAAGAAGTTTTTGATGTAGGGGCAGATATGTGATAAAGAAATCAGTGCACATATCATAAACCCTGTAAAAAGAACTTTGAAATTAATAGTTCTAAGCCATGATGGCGTGTACTTCAAATACACCATATTGCCCCATTCATCTTCTTCACTTCTATCCCTTTTGTCCATCAGAGACAGTTGTGGGGTGATAATATTGAATAGTGCCACCCCAGCACTAGATATATCTCCTCTGTCATCAAGGATTATCTCCTAAGAGATTGTCTACATACCACAGGTTTTTATCTGAGATCTTGATCAAATCTTGGAGGTGTGGAGGGCTGGCCCTGTATTGGTGTTTCAAAATCACCGTGTGATCCCTGACTGTTTTTTAACGTGTTTTGCTGATGGCCATATTGTTCACCCAAGTACCAATGGTTTCTTATCTCTCATCCAGGGAGGGGCTGGTTGGTTCTAATTTATAGACAGGATGGGCTGGGACAGAATCTCACAAACCACATGGGAGCCAGGCAGATGAATCCCTTCTGCCCCAGGGTACAACATTTCAAGAATGGTACAACTCCATAAATTGTGTGTGAAATATGGTGATAGCCTGTAATACAGGTATCAGTAATACAGAGTCCGGGTGCAGTAAATAAAGACATCCAGATTCTTAAGCCTTGTAGGGAGTCACCCCATTTCTGACTAATGAAGGAAGAGTGAAAGGAAGAGGGAAGGGCTGAGAACTGGACTCTCATATTGTTCTTATCTTCATGCTGTTATATATTTCTACCTTAGGATAAATATGTACCAAGGTGAAATTTATGATGCAAGGCTGAATGATGCAACAGTTTACACTTTCTACGGCCTACAACTTTTGTCCTTTACTATTTTTGTCAAAAACTAAAAAAACATAGATTTTTTCATTTGGGTTTAAAGATTCTACATTAAAGCAATAATAACTCTTCCTTTGAGATTCAAAAATCCGCATGAAATACATTGTAAACAACGCATGGAAATATATTCTATTGTATTTTACCACTAAAACGGCCGTTATTGTAGGAAAACTAAAATCTGTGCTTGTCAATAGGGCTTTCGATCACTTTTTTCCGGTCGACAAGTGCATTCGTTGCTAATGACGTAATGGTGTCACGCGGATTCTCGCGTTCATTCGAGACCAAAATAACATGGCGGGAAACCCTCAGACGTAAGTTGCGAGTTTTTGTACAGTGCGTCGGATAACGAATAGCCCAGAATGGCACACATTGTGGATATAAATGCATTTTTAACAAAAAGACGAATATATCTCATGAATCTTATATAGTGTTGTTGCTGTCTGCTTTTCCCGCTGTTTTAAGTAGGTCACCAGTGACTTTGCAATGTCAGAGAGAGCTCCGTCAGTTAAAATCTCTTAAGAGATTTTAACAAAAAACCGTACGTTTAGGAAAAAAAACCTGGATTAACTTTGAATGCAGGAATGGGGTCGTTGGCCATTGGTAAGTACGGGAAAATTGCCGTTTTTTCCAGGAAAATCCAATTTTTGGCCAAAACGAAGAGTTATTATGACTTTAAGTTAGATTTCTACACTGAGCAGACCCCCCCCCCCCCCCCCCACACACACACATATAAAATGTCATCCCCACCCTTCTCTTTAACTCACTTCCAAAAGCCAGTTATGAACTTCTAGTGAAGAAATCTCTATGTGGTCCAAGCAAAGGGTACCCCCCCACCCCACAACATTACCCTAAGTTTTAACCCCACAAGGAAGATTAAGACATATCAAGAATGGAAATACTGATGAAGTAAAGAATCAGTTTTGTCGCTAATATTCAGGCTGACAACTTTGATACTGATCCACACACACATTACATAACCCCAGTTCACACACTATAACAGTAGCATCTGTATTCAGTCTGACGATCCCCTGGTTACGTATAGAATACAACTGAATATTGCATTGAATCAAAATTTTAAGGCTGGAACTCAAAACCTATCATTAAAATATGAAAAAATACACATTTTCAGTAAGTGTAATTAAATTGAAATTGGAGAAGGATTTATACCTGACAACTGAAGTATATAACCCACCTAATAACTAAGAAGACTTCATTCTTACAGTGAAGTAGTGATCACTTCAATTCAAGGTTTTAAATAACAACAAAATTATCAGAACTTTTGCAATAGTACATTTCATCATTGAATAATTTACTAAATTTGAAGTTCCATGCTTAAATTAAAATAATGCAACCATCAGTATGTCTGTGAAGGAGATATGACAGTCAAAAAAATGGGACCTTATTTGCATGGTCCATGTGTTTAACATATGCATTAACAATTCTATAAATCTATACTTTATAATTAATTTAATTAATCTGTATTGTCTAAAATCTAGAACCCATCAAACTAACAAGTTTTGACATGTCCTGAATCAAGTGTTTGATACTCGACAGTCCAATTGCATCATCATGTCTGCCTTGTTACTGCAGGTACAAGGAGAGAAGTTTCAATATATTTTGTGATCAATCTGCTTAGATGTATTATGCATTTTATAGTTTAAAGTTTAATAATTGTAACATATGCATCCACCTGACAAATGACAATATAAATGTAATTTTAAATGAGTATATATGCTATTTTCCAATTTCAAGGTGTTTAACTACTCCTAACTTACTAAAGACAATTGTTTAAGCCAAGGTTTTCTGTGTCAATTTTAATGTGTGTATTAATTTGTGTGAGGTTTTAATTTAATATCAGTCAGATAACACAAACAATGGAGTGAAAAGCACCGAGTTCTCTTTCTCCAGTTTCATTCCAATTGCCAGCTTTATGGTATTTCCTCTGCACTTACTGCAACTAATCAAAATGTGCCATACTTATGATATTACTAAGAATATCAGTGCGCTAACAGAGAATGGATCTCTTATTTATTAAGCAAACATAATCTAGAATTGGTTTCAAAACATCCAGGTACTAACTTCTTGGCTTAGTGAAGAATGAAAACAATAAATGTCATGAGCATTACCCAGAGTAGTGGCCTATGTACATGTAATAAAACCTTAATTAAGAACTGTTGTACTATAGACATTCTTTGCATTTTGCACGTTTATTTTCAGCTGTAGTCTAGATTGCAGTCTACAGCTGGCGCTATGTTTCTGTTCTGGGGACAAGGGTAATTAAGACATGATATTTCAAATACCACCAACCCTTTGGAAGTTAAAGCTGCTGCAAACTATCTAGTGTCTCATTAAGAGATGAAAATAGCTAAATAACTTTTTGGAAAAAAAAAATATATATATATATATAAATAAATTTCTTGATTATTTCATATTTGCCTTCCAATTTTTTGCGCAAACATTTTCAAACAGTTTCAGTGTCTGGCAACATTATTTTTCAGCACCAGCTTCATTACAGCATCTGAGTTGTACTCAGAAAGGGTAACCTATCTCCAATGTAATTGTTACTTTTAAAAAAAACCTCCTCTTAACTGAGTCTAGTTTTATGGGTGGAGTTGCTGTCACATGTACAATTACAGACGATTTGCTGTCATCCACCGTGTGACATCCCTGCAGTTAACTGAGACAACAGCTGCTCTCGGCACATCAAACCATTCCTAGGATTGCTTATGTCAAGATCTAGGAAATATTCATAATTCATTCCCGTATACAGATCATCTAAATCATTCAGACGGGATTGAACAGAGCAAAAACTGGCATGTGTCAGTCATAATTATTGCTATTTGTTAATCACTGTGTGTGTATGTAGTTGTGTATAGCTGAATGGAGAGGAAGGGGAAGTCATTAGGCTTGATGATCAGTCTATTATTGTTTTACATCATCTCCCACCAACACCTCCACATGGTTTAATTATCTAGCTTGGTGAGAGATCAAATCTTGTGTCTTCTTTTCACAAATATAGTTCTATGTACCATACCAGAGGAAGTGAGCTTTTAGATACAACACTTAGAATGAAATCACTTTATTTCTATTTCAATTATCAAATGATGTGATAGTGGAGCTTAAGTTGCTGTGTTTATTAGTGCCTTGATAATGTTTGCCCCGTTGTTACTTCATTTCAACAGTGCATTTGATGACTATAAATACAACTGAGATATAAACACTCAATACAAGTAATTTGAAGGGCACAGTTTTACCTTTTGGGATTCAGACAAAAATGTTTAAATCCTTAAATCATTGAAACTTTGAACTTGTTAATTCACGCAACGACTCAATCTTTAATGCATCAGCCTAAATTTCTCCACACAACATCTGTATCATGTTATGATAATATTTTAAGGGACTGAGAAGTGCTCCTAATAAAACACTCACTTCACACAGATAGGCTGTTAGCAACTAGTTGACACTTTTGCTTAATTATCAATAGTTTCCTCAGTCTTATCTCTTGAAATGATAACATGTTTAACCTCCAAGATATAAAATCAAGGCTAGTCCAAAGCAAGCTGACTGCTACCAAGTACAAAATAAATGATGTTTGGATAAGTTATATCATACACTGTAAAAGTGAACACATTTTATAATTTAGATATGTACTAATTAGAAAGTCTTGAATTAAAATTTTAATTGTTAATCTAATGAAACAATAATGCCGAATGTTCATGGTTCAAAATTATGTCCAATGACCTATGCAAAAGTTTTATATAACAGCTCTGCATTGATAATACTACTACTACTACTAATAATAATAATATAAACCAGGGATAAAGGTATCTGCTCAGATATTTTACTACATCTGTTCAAGACAATATTTGCATTAGCATAATAAGTGTTAAAAGACAAATGTTTTTCTCTTTCATTCATCACAACATGGTTTCACATGACATCAGTCACATAGGTAAGTCCCTAACAGCCATCAAACTACCTAACCCAACCTCTCCTGAGGAAGTAGCCAGCTGATCATGTGGTCAGTTGACAACAGTTAATGAAGTAGGAAGGGGTGCCCTGTATACTAATGACTGCAGTTAACATAACATCACAGGATTCCCCACCCCCAGTGCATGCTAATTAACCTGGCAGGGGGAGAGGAAACGGAGGGCCCATGTGATACAAGGAGAGGTCACTTTTAATAACATTCTACCTTCTCTACAACCTGTTAGAAACAAGCCAATTAAAGGAGATAATGATCCAGAAGAGGTCTTATCAGATCTCTCTTAGGATTGTTTTCATTCTCAACTTATTGCTAAATCCACCTTGATGTATTGTATTACCCAGTACTTCTGGTGATTTCATCTTTGTTGCTAATTGCTGTGGAGATGCATCAACTGCCTTAAGCATTAAGGAAATCTACACCCATTTTTTTCCTAGTAGCCCAAAATATTGCCAATACCCCCCCCCCCCCCCCCACACACACACACACACTACTGAAAAAAATCAAAAGGAAGTGCTAGAAAATATATCTACTTGTATTTTATGCATGGCGGGAAAATTACAGATGTCAAAAATTCCTGTTGGAGCCTCAGGGCTGTTCTTAAAAACAACTTTTATTGCTCTTACACCGTCTACTGCTTAGTACTAGTAACACAGAATGCAGCTGCCACTGTGAAAACCAATAAGCCGAGAGATTTTTGTTATATTAATCATTATTGTCTAGCCTTTTCATCCAGAGAGCCAGTTTTTTTACTTTGTTTACTTTAATATACCCAGAATCACTTTTCAAGAAAAGTGTCATATTTGTCTGTACTGTGAGAAGAATGACAGTGCCTATGGTTCACCTAAAGGTTTCATCAAATCCATAAAGAATTGGTTTGCAATTTGATATTTTGGCCAGATATTAATACTGGAATACCTCCATATACATTCTACAGGACCTTAATTAAATCTGAAAGGCCTGTTATACAATTTCACACTGACACTTTTAACAATTTCCGATATCAGACTTTAAGGTGAATATAGCGAGCTCTTTTGTCACTTCCCACACAAATTGTCATGCACTGTGGGGACATCTAACCAACACCAGTGTGATTTATCACTGATGACTTCCACTATAAAAAACAGTGACTTAATAATAAAAATCTGAACCCATATCAAATTCTACACTACATGCTAGATCCAATGGCAAGTTGTAGCTTCCCCCATACGCCCCACGCGTGTAAGCTGACATCACCTTATAAAATATTGCAGTTTAATATGCGGCCCAACAACACATTACCTATTGAACTGCACTCTTGTGCTAAGATTCCCCCTATTCTCTTGCTAATAGGACTCCTCTATGGAAATCAAGAAGGTCTATCAAAGAACACCACTTCAAAGCAAGGGGGAAGGAGGCACCCCTGTAAAAAGCCCATTTGTCATTTTCATACAGGGATTGTATTTTAGGGACAGATTCTATTACACTCTCTGCGCTCTAAAGGTGATTTTTTGTTTGGACAGTTAAGATAGTGCGCAAGGTAAAAAGTTTTTACCCTGTACCCTGTAGAATTTTGTTGCATTTTGAAATAGAGATTCAACAAGTATTGCTTGATTGTTTTAATCAAATACTTCAGTCAAAAACAATTATTAAATGGTGTTCAGAAATAAATAAAGTGGTTGCTCTTAATTTCAATGACAACTCATAATTTAGTTTTTAAATGAGCCCTGTGTCAGAGTTCAATCAGAAATTTCTTATTTTATAATTTTAAAGGGAAACTATATATACTAAATATGTAGCAACTTTGGTGTTACATTCTTTTATTTATCAATTACATATGGGGGGGGGGGGGGGTCACTTATTAACTTCCACTTAACAAAACTTTCCGAAGTAATTAAACATAAAATGATGCTAACAAATCTAAGAACATTATTTCTGGTCAACAAATGAGCTGAGCCACAAATTAGTGAGGTAGAAAATGTGATGTAGAAAATATGACAACACCATTACTTAACACTCCACCAGTGACCAGAATTCTCCAGTAGAGGCTACAACAGGTAGGCCATTGTTGGAAGAAACCCTTTGTTGGTGATTGTCCCTTGAATGGGATGAACTAATTCAATTCTCTGTGACTAATACCTTGTTATTACACACAGAGAGGCAAAGGTATTACTTAAACCCAGAAGGTCCAGATAATGACCACCCTCCTATCAAACTGATACTTGAATCCCATTCCAGTGTTAGTAAAAGTTACACAATATAGAATAAAACATGGGTAAGAATTCTGTTCAAATGAAAATCATGAGCACCAGCGTGGCACTGGATAAAACCAAACACCTGGGTCTTCATCAATGTCCTCAATGTAGTCATCAATGCGTGCGAGACAAACATTATCAATAACAAACAAACAGGGAAAAGGAGAATGAGAATGTTATTCTTTCTTAGATTAGGTCCCTCGATAGGAAAATTCTACAAAGAAACTCAGTGACAGAGGAAACCTTTCACTGAAAGGGATGGCCCCCCTTACAATACAGACAATGTACAAGAAGATGATAGTATAAAGTCTGGAGATCTGGGTTCTTATCGGTGAAGAGGGTGAAAGGGGCTCGACGGATGCAACATGTTTACCAGTCCAATACATTTATCACTGTGTACATTTTGTAGATTTTGATAGACTCTATCAGACACAACTTATAAACTTTTCATTTTTCCCCGTCTCTAAGAGAGATTTAACACTGTAATCTGAGTTAACCCCATTCATAAAACAGTTCATTTTTTAATCACTCCAGAAATTCAGAAGAATTAGCAAACATAAAGTGGCAATCTGAAGAGCAAATAGAACCACTTGTTGATTACATAACTTTGCGATTATGTTATTTAAAACTGGACTTTGCATATATCCTTTATATATTTATATATCACAATAACATTCCAGACTCAACAGATCAATTAATTAAATATTCCTCCCTGTACTAGCACTCTCTTATGAGAAAAACCACAGGTCATACATAAAGCATAAACTATAAAGGTATTATCATCTGAGAGAAATGTATCAAATCATTGATTTATTCATTATTAATGACAACAATGAATATAGTGAGGATAAAGTATCAACCTACCTCGACGCGTGTTTTTCGTGTGATCCAAGTGTGGTCCATGCTTATGGTGGCTGGCCACCACGATTTTGAAGCCATCCTCTCCATTGACAGTACGAGGACTCTCCCATCCGCAGTCAGAGTCAAAATCACAACCACTACTTCCCACTGTTAGTAAAGATAGAAAAACACACAGTGATACTGACAGACTTTTACACATGACATATTTACAAACTGCTGCCATCTTGTCCGTCTTGTCTCCTGCTTTCTTACAAAAATGACACAGTGTTCTTAATTCTAGTTTTCAGAAATTCCCCCCATTCTAAGACATGAAAACAAATTCTTAGAAATGTCACTTCCAACGTGTCCTCACAATTGTATGTCTTCCATAAAACACATCAACTACATGGTGCCAATAACAATAATCTCAAGATTTGCGGAACGGCTATTCCCCTCCGACTGCTCTGGTGATAATTAGAATTTTATGATCATATCGAGCCACTGTCGTCCAATCAGTGGCTGTTAATGGGGCTGGTGGCACTGGACTTCCAGGTGCAGAGGATGGATCCTGAGGTTTTAGCAGCCGTTTTTTCAAGGTGGGCTCAATCTGTCACTTTGCCTGGGTAGCCTGGCTGTACTGAGGTATCTGTTGGTGACACCTTGATACAATCACCTCAGATCTCAACAGCTGTCACCAATCCTAGCACAGCCTTAATCCTGGGAATAGCTGGGAATTGGGTTATGAAGGATGACAACTTTTTTTTATCTCAGACTTTCCTGTAAACAAGGTTACTGTGCTTCATGGTTCTGTCTTTTTTTTTCTCCACAGATCTCAATGTCCAAGAAAAAAATAAAGCTCTAATGTAATCTGTCCTTTAAAATATTTCAGCTCAAAACTTCCAATAATTTTTTCTAATAGATTTTACAGCATGTTTTCTGGGATCCTTCTTCTAATATGTCCTTTCTTTCTCCATCTCCAGAGTAACTCTATCTTCCACTGAGTTAAAGTACACTCACAGCAGTTTTCCTATCTCTCTAGCTCAACTGCTGTCCCTCTGGTTTCTTCCCTGGTCTGTTGTTAACTGTCCCCATCACATGGTACCTTCCACTAATAGTGTCACCTTCTGTCAGATCCTGTCACCTAGCTAATACGTCCCCAGGGGATGGCATAGCTGTGGGGATGGGACACGCTTGGTTGCTCCTCAGCTTGCTGCACCTCTTTAACACTACCTTCCTTTTCTTAACTGATAACACGGCGATAACAATACAAACAAGCTGCACCAGGTAGACCTGCGCTTATTCTTATTTTCTTCCAACTTTAGCATAAAGGTGTACCAGGTTCACTTTAAAGGTTTTAAGCTGCTGCGAAGCTTTAATGAACATTAATCCATATTCATGAAGAGCCTCAGAGTTTTCTACCACTGACTCTGCATGGTTTTATTCAATCATTTTGGATGCTTTCACTCCTAGTGGATGGATAGGTATTTGATTGGGCACACTTGAATACTTAATTGAACAAAAGAGGTTTGGCAGTAAAGAAAGAGTCACAACTCCAGTACATTTGGCTTGATTTGTCTATATTTTATGAGTTGAGGTATGAAGATGTTTTTTGTCCTGCAAAGAAGTGCAGATCCAATTTGCCTTGTCCAGTATGCATGACAAGAATATGAAGAGAAGATTTGCCCAAGTCAAACATATAATTATTTGTTTTACCAACCCTTTGCCTAATGAAAAGATAAATAAAAGTATTTTGGTCTGCAGATTTTAACTTGGTGTTGTAGGTTTCATGTAACTGACATTTTCAAATTAAAAGAGTAGTTTTCTCTAAAAGAGAACAAATCAGGTTTACTAAATTTCTGAGGTAAATGGATTTTAAATAAAGGACCCCTTCTAAGATTAAACTTAAACATACAAAATAAAAACACAAACAAATTAAAAACATTCCTTATGTTCTGCCCAGGTACATGAAGTGGAAAGTTCAACATGAAATAATGTTCTGCACATACCCTTAATTAACAGCTGAAAATTAAGCAACTGTCACCTGAAACTCATAAACTGCTGAGATGGAATAATATTACATTTCCCCTATAATTTTGATCTTACTAATTACGATATTGAAAGGAGGGGCTGTTAAGAGCAGGTCCTTGTGAAAACCAGTTCTGGCTTGACAAGTCAGTTAACTACTGAAAAGATGCACATTGTAACTGTTCATCCCACTAGGAAAATTACCCCTTTTTAAAGCCTTTCATTAAAAACCTCAAATTATATAATTGCATACAAGAATGCATTAGGAGAAATTAACCCCAAGTCATTTATTTTTACACAAATAGGTGCAATAATGATCTGTTTCTTTGTCTTCAGTCATTTTCAATTCAATAAATGTTCCCTCAGACCAAAAAAATTACAGGTAAAATGAGTTTCTATTGGAAGGGGGTGTTTATGGAAATAATACCATAGAAAATGTGTTCATCTTACCAAGATATATAATATTAAAATTCTGTAAGTCGTTTTTTTTTCTTTATAAATATGCTCATTTGTATTATGATCATCAAACCATTACAAAATGTGCTTTTATCCATATTGTAAATTATTTTTTGTCAAAAACTTATAATATTTTATACTTTTTGATAACTTTAGAAATTTTGCAATCTAATATTATTGACAAAACTTACAAGTAAATTTAGCCATTTCAGAATTTTTCAGAAATATCCAATGACACAAATACACCTCATCCTCTAAGACTTATTACATTTATTCTGACACCACCAAATGGACCAACTTTTGGTTTTAAAAGGTGCTTACTTTTCATTGGTTAATAGTCCCAGAAGCTAAAAACACTACATACTCAGTATATCAAGACCTGATTTGATGATGATCAAGACCTGATGGCAAAAAGTCAATATCATTTTCTATTCAATGATATCTTGAAGACAGAAGTGTCAGAAAAGATTTCAAACTACTACTACATGTAAATAACTGGTATGTTTTTGACCAAGCTGTGGTCTTAACTGCCTAATCAGCTGGTCAGTAGTAATTACCATCAGTCATGTACAGAGCTTTAATTGCTTCATAGTTTGTGTCACATTTGGAAGGTGCCAAGTCCGTAGCCCTTTAATCATGAAATCTTCAAGATTTACCTGTAATAATTAGTCAGGTGTCAGAGAGTATTTAACACAGTTTTAGCAAAACTGTTTTCTGAAAAGAAGACGCTTGGTGACATCTTGGTGATAGCTTGGTGACATCACCCAGCTTAATTGTTATCACTTTGTGATCTTGCTGATCAATTAATTCAAGAAATAAAAAGGGGATAAGTGGGGATAAAGTCTTAATTCGCATTTTATATTAGATAGACATTACAAAACCTTAGCTGTCCAATTACATGTTAATCTGATGATTAAAGTTGATATATTATTTAGAACACACGGATATTTAGGCAGATTCTTCTACCTTAAGATCTATTAATTGCACTTTATTCCAAAATTTCTCATTTCTATAATCTAAGTTACAGTGTAGTTTAAAAAGGCTATCAGTGCTAAACTGTTAGTACTTTTTATATATAATTGGTAATAATAATTTTGGCTGAAAATTTCCAATTTTCTGGAAAAAATCCTGAAAACTTCATGTTTATCTAAATTTTAGTTCTTATGAACTGAAACTAAAAATTGACAAGAGAAAAGGAAAGTGAAATTGGTTTTTAAATACTTAGTTTACTACTTAAGTATGCTCCCCAGGTAAGAAGTTTCATTTGGCCATAATCATTTAAACAAGTTAATCAATAAAAATTTTACATTGAAAATATACACCAACTTTGTGTATTTTCTAAACATGAATCAATGATACCCTACAACAGATATGAGGTCCCTTTTTAAAGTTGTCATCAAGAAAAGAAGGCATGCTTATACATTAATTTTACCAACAGGAATGCAGAAATGAAATGTCCCCAAAGATAGTATTTTCTCCATCAGAGATCACAAGGACAACACTATCTAGTTGTTCAATGAAAAAAGACAACTTTTTTATTGTTCTTTGTGACTGAAGTGATCAATCTTTTTCTAGTTTTAAGTTTCAAATAACCTGCCCTCTTCGCATACACATCCAAATATTTTCAACGAACTTTTCATCAAAATCATCAAAATTTTACAGAAAAAAAATTAAAAGAGAGAGAGAGGTCATGAAATGCAAGTACTTTTTTCCTTTACTTGAAAGTAATTTATAAGTCATATATTATATAAAAAAAAACACATTACTTAAATATAGAGCAAGTTAAGCCTGTTAAATCGAACTAAGCAAGGGTTGTCACCAAACAGATGTCACCAGCCTTTCTCCTCCATCTGCTGAGGACACCCGTGTCACACACACAGTCTAGTTTTCTCAGCAGAAGGGAATCCAACTCCAACAAGTGACACCAAATACTGCGTCTGAAGATTATCGATACCGTGGAAAATCCTGAACCTGTCATGGCCTCTACATGAAAATTGTTGACTTTTCATTAAAACAGCAGGGGAACCTGTTGCTGACATATTTTTTACAAAAATATTTCTTTTGTTAGTTTGTGGGCAGATAAGAAAGTCCTTTCTCCTCGCACCTGAAGCATACAGAAATCTCCGTTTAACCTGCCACGACTTTCTTCAAAAATGTTCGAAGCTGGATTTTATAAAATTATCTTTTCTGTTGGGTGACCTTAAAAGTATTGTCATTCTCATGTTTATGAAAATAGTTTTACTGACTTCAAGACAATCGAATCAGACAGGGGTCCTCTGCACCTTTAATTTTTATCCCAAGTTAGGAACCATCTATTCATGTTAAAATCTCATATTATTTTAGTTCCAAACAGAACTTTATATAAGCCCAAAGTCTATCCTACAAACAGTGTATAAACATATAACAGAAACCATAAATGTGACACACACACATAGATACATATTAATTCTCTCTGATTGACAGGATGTGTAGCATAATGTCATTAAATTAAGGTTAAGTCATTACAATCTGTTAGTGGGAAAATTTATTATATATTCAGAGCAGACAACTTTGTCTATGGTCGTCCTGAAAAGAAAATCTTACAGTGAAACAGCTGTCTTTTTTTTTTTTTAATTTGAGATGTTTTTAAGTACACATACTAAACGTCATGTAAGTGAAACATGTTAAAAAATTCATCTGTTACCATCCTTAATGTTAGTAATACCATACTAAGAATTCTCCCTTAATTATGTTGTCATTGTTGTAATTACAGAAGGGAATGGATGACAGACAAGCTGAAATTGTCCATCCTACCGGTGGTTACTAATATCAAATCTTACAAGGACTGGTAAAAAATTGTGTTCAGGCGTTCCAAGTGCATCATTTCCCCCCCCTCCCCC